CAATCTCCAGGCTCCTCACCTCCACCCGCTTAAAGGGATGAAAATCAGCTTTGGAATGGGAAGTAAAATAGCATGAGATTCCCAAGTGAAGTCACTGGAACTGGTGAGTTCACTGTAGGAAATGAAACAAAGGCATGTCCTTAGAATTGTCTCTTGCCTTAGTTCATTGCTGTTCTTTTGTAGGAATTTTAATTTCTAATGAATTTTCTTGCATTCTCAGATTATGCAATCTTGAATTTTTATACAAATAAAGACTTCGTTAGGAAAAAAGACAAAATAGAAAAATTAATTATTTTGAGTACAGTAGGTTGTAGCTAATTAAAGCTGCATATTAAGACTGAACAATTGAGTAAAGTTTAAGCTGATTTTTAAGTGCAAATAATAAAAATTCATGATAGTCTCAAAATTATCTCTATTTTAAATACAACGGACTGTTATTCTTCTAATTTTTTAATATTAAAAGACTGATTTGTGGGATGGAGAGATGGGCACTCATAGGGTCTCATAGTGCCATTTTAGAGAGTTGTTTAGAAATAAATGTCATAAGGACAAAACAACAGTCCCATCGTAAGTGCTGAATAACTGAAGCGTTAGAGAGTTGTAGAGGGTTGTGATTTTGACTGTGACAAGTCTGTTCAACACTTCGGAGTCAGTTCATGAGCTGTTTTATTACTAAACTGCTAGGCAGTGTTCACTCTTATGTCTGGCCTTTTCACTGCTCTTCTCCTTGGCTTTCCATAGTACCCTTGCTGTGCAACTGCCTTCATAGAAATTGTTGATCTTTGTGGTTTTTTTTTTTTTTTTGTCATTTTGAATCTTTACAAAAGGTACTTTTTGAGTATTTTGAAAATGAATAAGTAATACTGAATCTTTGTATAAGCAGTTCCCTGTATTCCAGACTTCTGAAAACTTTGCTACTGTGCAGGATAGTTTGGCTTAGGAAATAGCTGGAGTCAGATGGGTATTGAGTTGTAATGTTGGTTTTGAAGTTAAGTGTGGCAGAAAAGCTTGATGGTCATATTTTAACCTGTCTGTTTACCTAAGTATTCATAGAAGTACATCTCTCTTTTCAGGGTATTGTGGCCTTCAGTTCTACTGGCATGCTTATCTCTATCAAGAGGAAAACCTCCTTTATTATCTCTTACTTTAATTTGTTGCTTAGTGGCATGGTATAGTAACAGGTTAAACCTGTATTTCTTTTTTTTAAATTTTTTAATTAATTTATTTATTTTTATTGGATGTTTTATTTACATTCCATATGTTGCCCCCTTACCCTATCCCCCACCCACCCAGGAACCTCCTACCCCCTCACCCCTCCTCCTTCTTCTCTGTGGATGTAACCCCTACCTACACCCCCCCTCCCACCTCCCCACCCACAAATTCCCTCCCCCTGGGGCATCCAGCCTTCATGAGGTCAAGGATCTTTTCTTCCACCTATGCCCAGCAGGGCCCTCCACTCTTACGTATTCAGCTGGAGCCCTGGATCCCTTCCTAAGTGCTCCCAGGCTGGTGTAAACCTGTATTTCTACGCCATCTTTTCTCTATTAGCTATCCCAGGGAATCTTGTTACGTGCTCTCCCCACCCCCAAGTGGTCTCCACTTACATACAATTTTAAGTCCAGAGATAATGCTGTATAAATCAGTTTTGTGCCTCTTTTCACAAAAAAAAAAAAAAAAGTTTGTTAGCCTTCTGAAGTGCTGTGCCCTGTGTTGAGAAATGTACCATTTTACAGCAATGAATTCTCAAAATGGTGGTTCAAGAATCTTAACGCTTTCTAAAATCAATGAATACCATGAAGAGATTTTGTTTTAAATATTGTATTTAGTGCTATTTAGCATATGACAGGTAAAACTGAAGGGAAATTTTAATACTAACTCATTTTAAATGTTTTAATGGAAAGTGCACCTGCCCCTCCACATATTTCTTGGTGATAAAAGGCTTAATAAAACAAGATTTTAGTGGTTGCTTTGAATTTAATATATACAGTGCCATAAAGAAAATCTGGGCTCTTAGAGTTGAAAAAAGAATGTTTTATTAATCTTCCCAGATATTAAAAGATGATGACTTTAATACTATACCAAAACTTGACAGTTGATAGTTTTTTTTTTCAGGGATGATTACAGCTTAGACTCTGGTAGCATATAAAACTTCTTTGTCTTCTTGTTGGTATGTCTTTCCATTTGAATTGTTCTTTTGTTCATGAATGATTTTGTACTGGCATACATTGGGTACTTGATTCACTGATTTAAGGAGGTCTTTAGATGTTGGATCAGTATCATTCAGTTAATGCCACTAATCTCACTAAAACATTCAAAATATTGGAGACTTGTTTAAGCCCTTTTTTGTCTCAATGCTTAAATAGTATCCGTGGTAGTAGCTACTTAAGTTGGTTGTTTGAAGTAACAGGTGCACTTCTTTGTTTTTAGAAAATGTCTGCCATATACTCATCTTAATAACCAGTTTATCAGTCATTCTTTTAAATAAAGTTGTTCATTGAAAGGATAATTCAGTCACCTCACAATTCAAATAGTTGCACAACCATTTTTTCTGTAGACATATTTCTCCAAAATGTAGAAATACTTCATAGGTGACCCCCACCCTAGTTGGTCATACAAAATATTAAAAAATTGTAGTAGCACATGCTTGTGACCCCAGAAAATCCATTCTCAAGAAAAAAAAAAGTGTGTTGGGCAAGAGTTAGCAAATAAATTGCTTTTTGCTGTGGGTGTAGCATGATGATGTCTGCTAGTACACTTTGTTCCACTGCCTGTTTGGCTCATTGAAAGGCTCTGGCTGAAACACACCATTGCTTTTGCAGCACTGCAAATGGATCATTGACAGTATGTGTTTTGTTTTGTTTTGTTTTGTTTTGTTTTTGTTCTATTTTGCTTTGCTTTTGTTTTAAGTCAGGTAACTGGTTAATGTTGTTTTGAGGACAGTGTTGACCTCCATACAAGCTCATGGACCATACTTTTAAAACCACTAGCTTAGAACCTGGACTTTGGTATAGCCAGGCTATCTGGATGAATCCCAACTCCATTACTTAATTAGGGTGAGCAGTCATCCTCATTTTTAAAAACTAGACAGACACAAAGTGCATAGGGCTAGGAAGATGGTTCAGTGGATACAGTATTTTAAACAGAAGCATAAGGATCTGAGTTGAGATCTCCTGCAGTCACATAAAAAGCAAAACACTGCAACATGCGTCCTATGTAATCCCAATGCAGGGAACAGAAAAACAGAAGGATCCCTGATGCTGACCGGTATTGGTGAACTCCAGGTTCAGTGAAGAACTGTTTCTAAGTGTAGGGTTAAAACTGTCTGAGGAAAACACCCCATTTTAGTTTTAACCTCTGGCCTGGCCACAACACAGGTGTGCAATACAAAATGAGCATCCACCTACACACATATATTAACACATACACACTCAAAAGAGGGTAGGATAGTGTCTCTCAGGAACATCTTGCCATCAGACTGCTTCTCTACATCATAATTGTCTATTAATTTGACATATGAATATACAGGACTGCAGGAGAGAGATGAGTGATACAACACATGATATGCTGCTGTCTCTGTCTGTCTGTCTGTCTGTCTCTCCCCACCCAGTAATCCAAACTAAGGGCCTTGTGGTTATTATTAAATTTGATGCATCTTTACCCTCAACAATCTTCAAACCACTCGGAAGGAGAAAGCTCTAGTTCCTGTGAACAGTGAATGCTTTCCTTAGGTGTTTACCAAGTCAAGGCAATTTCAGTGACAAAGCGTTTTCTATTTTGAGTATCTATTCTTCGTTGGTCTGTAATAACCTTCCTTTAGAAGGGGCTCTTTTTAATAAGCCTGCTGTTACTGTTTGCTGCCATGGGTTGTTTATGCCAAGTCACCAGTTGCTTTCTGGGAGAAATAGCATGTGAAATTCTTCCATCTGCTTTGATTGATCATCACCTTCAAGAGCTTCCCAAATACTTCCTGAGTCCCAGCATGCAGTGACTAATGTCTCTGTCCTATTAGATTTTAATTTTACTCTTTAAAATTATAAATGCTTTAAAAAGTAAACATTTTTCTTAGTTAGGCAAGGAGTATCTTCACAATTGAGAAAAAAATTAAAGTCAGGCATGTATCAGGGAAAACTTAGTATTGTCATTCTTGGATATGTTTTCTACTTATATTTTATAATTAATAGCTGTTCTGTTAACACTATTTAGCAACATATACAGTTTACTGTGTGCATTTTCTCCCTGAAAAAGTCATTTAAAATGTTAATGATTCTGGAAATGTTTGTCATTAATATTATTAGTATCTTATTTTAATGTTGGACATTCAGAGTTTTTTCAGTTTATCTACATTATAAATATGCCATGAGCCACATCTTCATGTATTCTTTGTTCTTTTTCTGATTACACTATGGATATTCTATAGAATATCATGCTTAAGATAAAAAATGGCTGGTTCAGATAACAGTATTTGTCTTCTACAGGACTCTTGAGGTGAATTGCTAAATTACTTCCAAAATGGTTAAATCCCATTTCTCATTTCACCAACATTCTACCCAGTTCTCCATATTCACCAGAACAAAAATTACATTAGGTGGTAATCTTCAAACGTAATCACAAGTTAATGCAGACTTGAACAAAACTCTAAATAGCTAGAAATTAAATAGTTTAACTTATGGCAAAACTTAAAAGTATTGCTCATTACTTTAAGAGTCCAGACTAAAGTTAACCTTGGGCTGGTACAGAGTCTTCAAAAAGAGGTCAAAAGCTTCCTCTGGGGAAGTTTTATGCTTTCTGAGCCAGCACAGACCTGCTTACAGAGAGTAGCTTGAAGTAGGAGTTCACCAAGTGTTCTTTGCTCTTTACTTTTGCCTTGTGTCTAGGAACAGCGTAGCATGCTTAGGGAAAGAGCATATAGATGGTTTTCCCTTCTTTATAGAAGCAGGTTTGGATAACGCAACACTGAAGTCTTATGCTGGAATTCTTTACTAATTCTTTGCAAATTTCAGGTGTGCAACAGAAGAACATGGCTCAAGAAACTAATCACAGCCAAGCACCTATGCTTTGCTCCACTGGCTGCGGATTTTATGGAAACCCTCGTACAAATGGCATGTGTTCAGTATGCTATAAAGAACATCTTCAAAGACAGAACAGTAGCAATGGTAGAATAAGCCCACCTGGTAAGTAATCCAGTAAAGCACAGCAATATTCCTTACAACACATGAGGTATATGAATACTTCTGTTCACTTTCTGTCAAATGTACAATGCTACATTCATATCACTAAAACAAAATTAAAAACAAAACAGGTAGAGGATACTAATGAAAGGAAACCTATATACTATGTTTTGTGGGGAATTATCTTCCTTTGCTTCTATCAAGCCTTGGGCTGCTAGAATATTAACCTGCAATGTGTTGTGTTGCAGCAGCTTCTGTCAGCAGTCTGTCTGAATCCTTACCAGTTCAGTGCGCAGATGGCAGTGTCCCAGACGCTCAGTCAGCGCTAGATTCTACGTCTTCATCTATGCAGCCAGGGTAAGGGTGACTTTCTGAAAGATAACTGAAACTGAAGAGTATTGATCTTGTGATAGTTTTTAATCACTTCACTAAGGAATGCTTTAAAGCTATTGGAGGATTTACTGGCCTAGAATTGTATCTGACTGCTTGCTACTCACTAGTTACAAGATGCTTTGTTGAAGGAGAGCTCTTTTAAGTCTTCAATCCCCCTTTCAGATATCTTTTCCTTTATTCTTCACACTGCATACTGATCTGCTGCTGAAGTCCTTCTAAAGTTTTCTTCACACTGTAGTCCTTGGTCAACAAATGTTACTGCCTTGAAACAAAAGAGCCTTGGCTCAGATTCTTTGTTTTTATCATGAGGCAATACTAAGTTTTCTGTTTTATATTTTTGCTTTTAGCTCTGAAGTTAGAGATAGAGGGATGCATGCAGAAATACATGTTTTAACTTCTGAAAGTCATGGTACATGCCTCTATAATCTCAGATTTGAGAAACAAGTAGACTGGGAGTTCAAGGCTAGACCAAACTATACAGACAATTTAAGGCTTCTCTTAGGTGAAGGAGGGAGGGAGGGAAAGAGGGAGGGAAGGAAGGAGGGAGGGAGAGAGGGAGGGAGGGAAGGAAGGAGGGAAGAAGGAAGAAGGAAATCCTTTTTTCCATCTTATTCTGTTATAAAGTAGGCTGTTAAGTTTTTGCACTGTGCTTTCTTTTTAAAAATTTATCGTAAGTGCTCATTTACAACTTTGTTTTAATGTTTCTGAAGCAAGGCAGCATTGTGCTAGTTTTCATTTAGAGCATTCATGTAATATTTGGGAAGTGTAAAAAAACAAAAAACAACAACAAAAAAACAGTGTACTGTTGCTTTGTTTTCCAAAGCATAAACTTCTGGCCCTAATTAGCCTGTGGCTCCCAAGCCATATGATCATGTTAGGTTATAAGTGTCCCTGTGTTCTATAGGAAGTGATATTACTATGTCCTTTTAGGTTGTATGGATATTTCGAAGATGATCTTTTCAAACTGAAATATTTTTGAGTGCACTAACACTTATCTGAAGGAGGCAAGAGGTTCTCCTGAGCCCAGGGCTTTAACACCATCCTGGGGAACAGAATAAGCCCCTCTCTCTAAAATTAGAAAACTAATTTTAAAAAACTTTATGTTAAAAAAATAAAAATATATTTTGCTTTTCTAGCCCTGTATCAAATCAATCACTTTTATCAGAATCTGTAGCACCTTCCCAAGTGGACAGTACATCTGTGGACAAAGCAGTATCCGAGACAGAAGACCTGCAAGGTTTGCATATGATAGCATGTGTTTGCCTAACACTTGAGTTCTGTAGGCCAAGTACTAGTATAGATGTGGGTATTTAGAACAGTACCTGCTTATCATATATGCTTTGTTAGTTTTATTATGAAAAGAGTATTTTATATTCTCAAATATTTAATTGACTAGAATGTTGGGATCCATTTTCCACTTATATAATTTGACCAGAATAAAGAGAAGATTCAAATCTGCTTGAGAAATGTAATTAGAGTGACCAATAGAAGTATTATACTGTTATGTTTTATTGTGTTAGACAGTTAGATACCAAAACTCTCCTCTCCAAGTACTGGAACTACCTGCTGGCTTGTAAGAACTGATTATCCGAGAGGCTTTTCTTCTTGGTTCCCAGGCACTCCTCTCCCCATGTGAACTACAGTGCAGTGGTCACATCCAGCTACTTGCATTCATAGTGTGGTACCCCATACTTCTTCTCACCCTGGTTCCATGGATTCAAGTGACCCAAGAACTCTGAGAAACTTATCTGAAGGCATTTGCAATGGGGAGGCATTAAGGAGGTTCCTAATCTCTGCTAGGCTTTGTTATCCTGTCAGCCAAGGGAGCGTACTATGAAAAGATAGTTGAGGGTTTTGTGACACCATGGCAGGGTTTAAGGAGACAGCACACTGACTTCTGCATTATGTATGGTGTAGGCATTCTGGTAACGTGATCCAGAGTATTCAATTTGTTGGTTGAATTTTATATTGAATAATATAGATACGCTTTATTTCTTACCCAATCAGTACTTGACCAGATTTACCTATTTTTGCAGATTTTGCAGCAGGAAATGAATATACTATGTGGCCAATATAAATGTTTTAATCTAATCCACATATTATAAATTCACAAAGTATAATTAGTGAATAATATTTTTATAAATAGAAAAATTTAAGAAAAGTAAGGATATGGTGGATTATGTTAGGTGCAGAGAAGGGGAAATGTTATCTACTAGTTATAAAAACAAACAGTGCTAACAAAGCTTAGCTTTATTACAGTGACAGTGGTATTATTGCTTTTGACAGGCAGGCTGAGAGAAAGGTATTGGTTACAGAAAAGGTTTTTTTAAATATGTAATTTTATGTGCATGTATCTGTGTATGACCATGGCATGTGAGCACCAGACACATCTGAACCTCCCAGAGCTGAAGTTGCATACAGTTGTGAGGTGCTCATCGTGGGTGCTGGAAATTGAAATTGGGTCCTCTACAGGAGCAGTGTGTGCTTCTGAACACTGATATTGTTGAGTGAGGCAGAAGTGATAAATGTAAAATTTGAGAGAATATTTGGAAAGTAGAGGTACGTAAAAGAAAAGTGATGAGAATTGTTCCTGAATTTTAGACGGTCTGGTATAGGCCGCTAACGTGAGAATAGAGTTTGAAAGTAAAGCAGGAAGGTAAGGAACAAAAAACAGCCATCTGGATCCTGATTAGTTTCAGGACATAGACACAACCAAACAGAGATCCCAGGAGCAAATAGTTTTGAGAGGGAGGTTAGCAGAGAAAAAAAGAGAACAAAGCTGCTACTCACTCAGGAGAGTTATGTGTGTCTTAAACAGAACATGTTTTAAATTGCTGTGTGTGAAAAGAATTCATAAAAATTAAAGGGTGTGATGCCACATGCCTTTGATCCCTGCAGCAGTAGGCAGATTCCTATGAATTCAAGGCCAGTCTGTTCTGCATGGCAAGTTCCAGGACAGCAAAGGCTGCATAGTGAGACCTTGTCTCAGAAAAACAAAACAACCAAAATGAACAAACAAAAGATTAAAGATGTAGTGAGAGTTGAACAGTTTGATAAAGGTAGGTGAGTTAAAAACACAACAATGTAGGTGCTTAATACCATTCTGACACATGGAGAACATCAGCGTTTCCTCCAGCTCACCCTGAGTACATTAACCAAGGAAGTAGTTACGTCATATTAGGAAGACTGCAAAATATTTTTAAAAGTTAGACACTCTGTACAAATGTGCTTTGACGAATCATAGGCAGAGCCATAGCGACCTGTTCCCTGAACCCTCACCCAGCCGATACCCTGTTCTGAAAGATATCTGTATTCTCCCTGAACACCCACGCTCCAGTGTCATCCCCTTCCCCACATCCTGCCTTTTTGTGTTTATAACCCCTGTGTGAATGAGTATAAATTACAATTTGAAAAAAATAAATAAATTATATATATATATAAAAACAAATGTGCTTTGAATGACATTTAGATAAGTATTAACTTTTAAGTTCATTAAAGACTTAGCATTCATAACTTCAGCATAACAGAACCTTCAATAAATCATACGTAAGTTTCAGTTTCACCCACATTTAGAAAGGAATTAGTTTTCAACTTGTAAAGTCTCTCAGTAGCATCCTTTGATGTATGTGTGAGTTAGTGTATGTGTGGAAGCTGGAACATAGGGTGTCTGTCCTCAGATGCCATCCACTGTTCTCATTTTCAGATAGTTTTTTTTGTAGCCAGAATTTACCACGTTACATAAAGTGAATAGACCAACTACAAGGCCGTGCCACTACTGGACCCAGCTGTTTTATAAGTGTAGGTTCTGGGAACTAGTGCAGGTCCTCATGTTTACAGAGCAAGCACTTTACAGATGGCTATCTCCTCACCCTGAACAACCTCCTTAAAAAAAAAACCAAAAACAAACAAAAAAAAAACCACTTAACTTATTTTTAAGTTTAAAATATTTTCTTTGTTTTGTCAATAAAAATGTAAATATGCTTCTTTGTATATCGATACTAAGTGCACACACTTCCCCTACACATAATTTGCTTGCTGAACAAATCAGAGAATGATGCTTCATCATTTCATCTACTGAATGACTGAAAAGAGACAGAAAAGGCTTCTGCAGCACAGACACATGATACAGGGAGCTGGAACCCCAGCACCAACTGTAACTGTGTTCCCTCCACAAGACAGTGTGATGCTTGTGAGCTGGAATTCACTGTGTGCATCTTGCTGGCATATTCAGTCCCCTTTGTTCCCTCAAGTAGGTAGGACCAACTGGTTAGGCAAGCTGCCTGGTATCCATGTGTATTCCAGTATCACTGGAGCTTTCAGAATAGCATTTCCTCTGTTCATTATGTTTCTTCTGGTACGGTGCTACCAGGTAGATGATGATGCTTTCATTTGGCACCTTAGCTGTAATTCTCACGCTTAAATGAAAAGTTAACCTATTGCTGTATGTTATCTAATTATCCTTTTAAAAAAAAAATGAAAAAGACAGAAGTTTCTCAAGCTCTTAAAAATCAAAGACTTCCAGTTCACAAAAACCAGCTTAAAGATAAAATATATGTGCATTTTGGTGTATCTAACAATACTGCACTAGACTGGCTGCCTTGAAGATAGGGCTGAACTTTGATGACCATGCTAGTCCTCCAGATCTTGGGTGATGTAGACTCAAAAGAAGATGAGGTTTAGATGTAAGAGCTTCTGGTTTCATATCTTCATCATTTCCTGACATTTCTGTGCTGTATTTTCATTAGAGTCATGTCCACCCTGCAGGAAATTTAGAATTCAGACCACAGATCCAAAATGCAAACAGTAAAGGATATTCTTGTTTTGTATATTGCCCTATTGATTTGAGAGTTAAAGGAAGCTTAGGATAAAAGATGCCTGTTGTAAGCCTTTCAGTGTAGAATGAATCAGCTTTTTGGAAGGTTGAGCTGTCAAGGATAAGGCAGGAGGAACCAGGATTTGTAAGGAGTGTTGTTAGATCAGTAACAACAGTGCAGACAGAGCACTAAAATTGGACTAAAATGGAACTGCTATTTAGAAAAGCTTACATGGGGTAGAAATCAGAGATTTCATCTGATTTTGAAGAATGGCTGAAAACAGCCAAGACAGTCGTGAAAAAGTTACAAGTAAGTCTCCAGCTTCAAACTTTATTAAAAGATACAGTAATTCAGACTGAAGTGCTATTGTGAAGGTACTCACACAGATCAGTGGAATAGTATTGATAGTCCAGAAATACACTCAGAGGCTTAAGGGCAGTTTATATTAAAGGTCTAAGGTCATCCAGTAAGAAAATGAGAGTCTGATCATAGAATGAATTCATAAAAAATGTAAAAATTGACATACGACATATCCAAAACCTACATAAATATAAGAGCTGAGCCTGTAAAAACTCTCAAGGCAAGTATAAATTTTGTGGCCTTAGATTAGAAGTTTCATAGATAAGACACCTAAAGCAATAGTAACCAAAAGAATGAAAAGAATGGAAAAGCAGCACAGAGAATGTTTTACATCATCTGTTTAATAAGGATGGATAAAGAAATAAAATTTCCTGCTGGAGATATAGCTCGGTGGTGAAGCATTTGGACAGCATGCATGGGATCCTAGTTAAATCTGTGGTAGCTATAAAAATAAGGAAAGAAAGAGTGAAAGAACACAGAAAAAGACAATCCAATGAAAAATGTTTCAGTTCCCAGCATCCACATGGTGCTTGGCAACCATCCATAATTCCAGTTCTAGCTGGAAGGACACAAACATGTACATGGTGCACATAATACATGCAGGCAAAACACTCATATAAATTGTATGAATCTTTAAAAAATGTATGAGTCTAATAAAAAATTTTTAATAGAGCTTTGGAAATTCTCAAAGAATTAATAAGTTGTTTTTAAAGGAAAGAAAAAAAGGCAAAGGGTCTGAATAGATATTTTTCGAGGGAAGATATGCAAACTGACTGCCAGCAAATGAAAGGATTCTCTGCATCAGTAGTCACCAGGGCTCTGCAGAAGCAAACCCATAATGAATTAACACGTGGCCCCCCAGCAGAGTGCTGCAAGCAATAGCAATAACAAGTGTTGTTTTGATATGTGGAAATTAGGACACGTGCACATTATGAGAATTCAGAATACTATAGATGATTTGGAAAGCAATCTAGAGTTTCTCGAAACGGTAAGGATAATTGTCAGGTGAACTAGCATCTTCACTTTTAATTCTGAAGAGAATGAAAACATGTCCTCGTTTGGTGAGGACCTTTCTGGAGTTGTTCTTGTCTTTCATTGTGTACCTTTTAGGGATTGGACTCAGGGTTTCGGGTGTGCCAGCAAGAGCCTTACCTACTAAGCCATCTTGCCAGGCCTAGGATTAATTCCTAGGTATTCCTAGAAAATAATAAACATGGCACTTATTTAGTATCAGTGCTAATGTGATTTTTCTAATGAAATTTAATTTTTTTCTCAGTTTATATGGAATTTTTAAACTAGGAAGAGCTTACATTTTACTTAATTTAAACCCTCATCTAGAGGTCAAAATTGAAAAATTAAGATTATTCCAGTAATTGGTTATACCTGTCTGCAGTAAATGTCTAGGGAGCATGTGTTCTGTGTCTTCACTAGGTGCATAGCAGAAATAAGCAGGATGATTTGAGCACCTCACAAACTCTATTCTGATCCTTCACTGGGTTGAACTATGGTAGAGTTCTCTTACATGCTTTGGTCCTGAAAATGCTTCATGCCAAAAAAAGCTTTTTCTAATTCTTGAGAATTGCCAAGATTGTCTGAGGAAAAAATATATCATATTATATAGAGATACTATATCCACTACCAAGAGATATTAAGGTAGTGTTTGGAGTTACCTATCAATGTCATTTTAAGTTCAGTTTAGTTTTTCACTGTTTTTATGAATATGCCCAAACAGAATTAGTGTTTAAATTGTATTATGTACTTACTATTACATTTCTATTCTTTTTCTGTTTACAGGACCCAGAGCAGAGGGCCTTGTTCCTCTTGAATGTGATCCTCCATGTGGGTAGTAAAACCACTCTTACCTGTCCAGTGCTTTGTGAAGTATCTTAACAATAATGGCCAGTAGACTGTGTCTAGCCAAGATTCCAGTTAGCAATTCAGCTAGAAAGCATACTACAGTTTATTTTGCCTCTTTTAATGTTGTTACATTGGCCTCTCCACAGACCTGCATGGCCAGTGGGTATGACTAGACAGTCATGTGTTCTTAATTACTAACAACTGGCAGTGTATTTCTGATTCTCATTTTTCTATATGAAAACCTATCTAGTTCTGAAGAACCTGCCCTTACTTTGGCTTTAAACTCAGGAAGACTATGGTTCTTTGGTTCTTTGCTACTACATAGCTCTCTATTCGTGATTGAATAGTTCCTTTACTATAAACAGAATTGGATAAGGCATTCTATGGTCCTATATCTTAAGTATAATCTAAGGAAACATGATTTCTTGGAATCAGTCTTTCACAGATTCCTAGAGTCTGGCTTGTGAACTTATTTAAATTTGAGCTGTTGGTTGTTCAAAGTCAGGTTGCACTGAGAGTTGGGCTTGAGCAGATGTCCCCATCATCTCTTGGTGCTGTATACTCAACAGTCTAAATCCGAGCTCTAACTCAGGAGCATTTTCACACTGCTGTCCGGTCTTTAACTTCAAAGGTGCATCTGTCGCTGGTGATTTGTCTTAGCTCTTCAGGCCAAATGGCAAATTTACTATTGAGGTGTGTGACACCTCTTGTGGTCAGAGTAAAAACATGAATTTTTATTCTTCTCTGTTTCCAGATACTTCCCAAAATTTGTCTAAGTAGTTAAACCGGTTGTGTTTAGAATCTGCCATCCTGTTACTGACATTTAAGAATTAATTTTTTTTGACTACCACATTTTTTAGAGAACAGGTTAGATATTGTGGCTTACAAATTTTAAAGACAATATTCAGGTTTATTTCTGAATACAGTTTAAATATTTTTGAGTTCTTTTTACAGAGTCAAGCCTTACCTAATATTTTTCTAGAGGTGGGGATTTAAACAAGATATTCATTTCTTATCATAAGTAAGCTCACATTCTAGGGGCACTTGTTTATAGAAATTGAAAAGTTTGTGAGCCTATTTTGTTTGAAAAAAATATATATATATAGTATAGCCAGATGTTGTAGCTCACACCTGTAATCCAAGCACTTGGTTGAGGCAAGAAGATTACCATGAATTTGAGGCCAGCCTGGGCTGCAGAATAAGACCCTGTTTCAAAATCCATTAGTAAGAAATAAGGATGTATATTAATAGAAATTTCTCTGGCCTGGTTTTAGCTTGTCTAGTAGAGACTTTGTATGCAGAATTCTTCATTTCCACTCACTTATAACTTATGGTGTTAAAGTCGTATTTCTAAATATTAGATAACATAAGCAGGTTATAATCTACTCACTTGTTTGAGTATCTGCTATAAGTAGGTTTGCTAAGGGGAGCTGTACTGTGGCTGTGGGAATGTCCTCCATAGATATAGTAGGTAAGTGATTTAATACAGAATCGCTGACAGTTATTCCTTGAGTGGCAGTACTGCAGGTAGGCTCTGCTAAGAAGAATGATGAGGCAGGTTCCTGCCGTCAAAGAATCTCGTTAAGCCAGGCTAAGCCACATAGATATAGGAGCTTAGAAAGTACCGTAGGAGCTCGGAGAGGGTTTCCTATTCTGAAACTGCGAATTACATCCATGTAAACAGGAAAGACAAGGTGGAGTTAGTAAGTACCTAAAGATCACACACAGCAAGGACCTCACAAGAGTTTACAGGTGGGAGACAGAGAAGTGTGTCATTGGAACTCTGGCCCTCCCATGGCTCAAGCATATGGCAGCTTAAGGAATGATGTAATATGGCCAGAGAGAATGGCAGGAATGGTGAAAGTCCCTGGACCTTAACTGGAGAATGGTGGGGAGCCATCAGAATGTTTTAAACTATTTGCTTTTCACCTACAGCAGACAAATAGAGAGAGGGTTGGGTTGGTGCCCATAGCAGGGATAATAGAGTAGAAAGAGTGTTTGTTGATGAGAGAGAGGCATTGAACCTCTGAAGAACACACATGGCTGAAATGGGAAAGCTTTTTGGAGTGGCTGGTAGAATTAAGCCAGAAGGATGTTTCGAGCATAATCAGAAGAGTAGTGACTCCTGGGAGAGGCACTGGATGTGACAGAGTGGATGAGCTGAACTTAAACCATGATAGGCCTTTTACTATTTTCAGGTAGGTTGCAGACTCTGTCTCTGGGGCACTCAGGAGGTCTACAGTAACAAGTAACAGGAAAGGACACATTTATCGGGTTTAGTAGTGACCATTCAACCTGCGTCTCAATCATCTGCTCTTGATTTTAGGATGAAAAATGCATTGTTTTTAGTTTTCATTGTAATTACATCATTTTAAAGTTCCCATGTATCTGATTCTTTTTCCTAGCATCTTAAGTACTTTTGGAAGTAGGGATAGTTGTTGAGAAAGATTTTCATTCTGTTGCTTTGGCTGAACTTTTACTTATTCTGTAACCAAGGGACAAACAGCAATCCTCTGGGTACTGGATTATAGGCATGTGCCACAACACTTGGCTTAAGTGATTTCACATAAAACTGTGAAGTGTTCTGAGAACATTAATATTCCTGTTTTCTGAGAAGTCTATTTAGGTCAGACTGTGAGCAATGTTAGGAAGTTTTCATACGCTGTTTTCTTCTTGTACATTCCCTCAGACTTCCTGGGTGTCAGGCAGTGTCTTTCTCTGTCTCTCTCCCTTCCCACTACAATAGCAAAAGAAGAAAATCTGTGAGTGTTCAGAAGCACCATTTGTCTATTACAGATTACGTTCTACCTGTTTGTATACATGTTTAATGAATAGAGGGCCATGTTTTATAAATAGTGGAAATTTGTGAGTATCTCTTCTACAGTTGTTCAGAAAGTCTTTAAATTACAGATGCATGGGATAATACGGGATGAGGGTCAACCACCACCCAAACACCAGATCTTACTAAATAATTAAATTTGCCTCCCTCCTCTTTTTGTCAGCTTCAATATCAGATACGACACAGCAGCCATCTGAAGAGCAAAGCAAGTCTCTTGAAAAACCAAAACAAAAAAAGAATCGCTGTTTCATGTGCAGGAAGAAAGTGGGACTTACTGGTAAGGGCCTCCTTGGATGGTTTAGAGTTAAGGTCATGTTTTGGAATAACTTATGCTCACTTTTACTGACCAGTTAAGATTGCTGTTACCTCTGTGAGCATTGGTATTGGGTCCATGTCAGTTTCAGGATTGACCTTTTTTTTTTTTTAGCTTTTAAAATTATTTCAGTTGGGTTTTTGAGTATTTGACAAGTAAGGCTATTTTGGTGAATGCTGGGAAAGGGTAAAGATGCATCTCTTGCCTTCAAAGAGACAGTATTTGGGGGGCCTTTGGTTAACTGTGAGGTGTTCTCTATAAAACAGTGCTGATCGTAGACCACGTGTGGTCAGTGATCTGAAAGCAAAGCAGCTTGGTGCTGTATAGAAGACACCACTGGTATATTACACTGGTATATTACACTGGTATATTACACTGGTATATTACACTGGTACACCACTGCTGCTGTAGCTCAACTGTCAAAATTGTTAAAGGGGGAACTGTTCAAAAGTATTTAGCAAAGAATGTACATTAGGCACAGTCAGACTGCTCTGGACATTCATGGACAGGAGTTCTGTGGTCAGTTTATATAAACAAAAGGATGTAGAGGCCTGCCAAGGGGAGTGCAGCCTCCACTCTGACAATGGAGCTACGGGTGAGGCCAGGGCAAGCCTGGTAGTGGGATTCACTGGAAAGTGGTGCAGCTACAAATAGTTTTGCTGATTGTTTATTTAGGTATTGTGCCAAATACTTGTATAAAAACCAGGAATATAAACAGAGAACAGTAAGATTTTGAGTGAAAATTATGCTTCAGAGTTGGGCATGGTGGCACATGTTCATAATCCCAGCACTTGGGAAGTGGGGGCAGAAGGATCAGGAGTTCAAGACTAGTGTATGCTACATGATATCCAATCTCCAAAAAATAGAAAAGAAAATGATACCTTAGGATCTACATCTTGCTGAAACATGGGTTGGCATTGAAGGAAGAGATTAAAATATGATGTCAAAGATAACCTAAACTTCCCCATTCCTCCAAAATATATGCAAGTTAAATATATATAATTTAAAATGTACGTATTTAATATCAAACACATCCTTTAAAAGGTTCATGAAGTTTCAGACTTTCTGACTACAAGTCTAGGACTTAGTTTTCATCTAATTTAGCTATTGTTCACTCCAATTTTCTATTACATAAAGCTTCAGAATATGTTTTTAAAGTTAAAATGTGGTAAAGAAAGTGAATGTCAATTATTGACTAGAATATTGATTATTCCTGAGCTCTGTCTTCCCACATCCATAACAACATAAAAGCCTGATTTGGAGGAGCAACACTGCCACTCAGTGCAGCTCCACTTGAGTTCCAACTCATAGGGCACGTCCCTAAAGTTAAGTAGCTTTTACTGGGTGCTCACCTGATCCTTAGAGTAATTCATGACTGCTTAAAAAGTACATATGTGAGACTCAGAGAAGCTTAGGGAATTGTCTCTGATACTGAGGATATTGACCCACAGAAACCTGCTTCAAGGGTCTTGGTCTCTCCAGATAGAACTGTTTACTTCTTCTGAAGGCTCAGCAGAGAGGGAAATTAAAGGTGTTATGTTGTTTACTCAATAACAGGTCCTCTGGACTCATTGGTCTTAATTAAATGTTACAGTTGCCTTGTGACAGTAGGCTTGTTTCTACACTGTTTATTTTCAGTTTAAAAAATGGTCCATTTTCAGTTTAGCAGCCTTTTCCTAGGAAAAAATTGTGAACATATCACAAGTGAAGAAAGCAGCTCAGAACAGCAATCAGGGCTTACCCTGGTACAAATAAGTTTATGCAAATGGGGGCAAGAAAGGAAGCTCTCTGAAAATGAGTGAGAATGAAGCTCTTGGAACTTTACAGTATTCTTCACAGACTTAAAGACAGGGTTACTTAGCATTAACTTAATATCTCACCCTCCTGTCTAACCCATGCTGTACACATATTCATCCATTTCCAGGGTTTGAATGCCGGTGTGGAAATGTTTACTGTGGTGTGCACCGTTACTCAGATGTTCACAATTGCTCTTACAATTACAAAGCTGATGCTGCTGAGAAAATCAGAAAAGAAAATCCAGTAGTTGTTGGTGAAAAGATCCAGAAGATTTGAACTCCTGCTGGAATACAAAATCCTTTGACTATCTGCAAACTAAACATTGACTTGAGGTTTTTTTTCCTAGTCTTGGGAATGTAGAGCACCGTATCTTGCATAGACCCTTGAATCATGCATGTCATCAGAAGAATAGATTTTTGTTTTTGTTTTGAAAATGACTCTGAACATTTATTTCCATTGCAGTTTCTGTGGCTGAAAAGAAGTATTATACTTTTAAGATCATTTTAATTTTAGTTAAGTGCAGAGGGCTTTTATAACAAATGTGGAGAAATTCTGGAGGGCTGTGATTTTTCCAGTATTAAACATGCATGCGTTGATCTTGCAGTTTATTTCTCACTGTGTATGTAAATATAGCTTTTCTCTGCAGCACGATTCCCTTTTGATAAGGCCCTTCTGGGTGCAACTAGTTATCAGTAACTGAATGTATCTTAATCATTACGGCTGCTTCTGTTTGTTTTGTTTTCATTAACAAAGGTTGTACGTATGTTAGCATATAGTTTCTTTGTACCCACTATTTATGTCTGAATCATTTGTCACAGGAGAATGTGTGCTGACAAGATTCTAAATTTGTGGTTTTTGGTTCTTTTTTTTTTTTTTTTTTAAGCAAGGGAAAGAAAAGCTAAGTGCATTTCACTGCTGACTGCAAGTTTCTTTGAGATTACTGTTCATTGGTCTGTGTGTGCACAATATGAAGAATGATCTGGTAATTGTGTGGTATTTATGTTTATTCACCAGTCTTTGATTAAATAAAAAGGAAAACCAGGAAAAAAAAATGCTACTTTTCCCTCTTCTTTCTGGTAGTTAATTTTGTCTGTTATGTCCTTTAGGGTTTTGTTCTTCTAAAACGGTAGAGTACCACTATTATTGTCTCACCTCTAGTTATGGCCAATTTGTTATAACAAATTATATTCCTATGAATATAATATTGAAGACCTGAGAATTTTTTTAAAACCAAATTACTGAGATGTGATATATTCTGGATCTCATCTAACTGTCCTGCACTCTTTTACACCATAGGATTAGAGACATTCAGATTGTGTCAGTGGCAGCATTATATACTAGAAAGACCCTGCAAAGACCAGTTTGTCCTCTGGTTTCCAACCTTTTCTAGAAGGTAGCCTGCTTAAAAATGATAGTAGCTGTACTTTACAGTATAAATTTCTTGGTGGAAAAGTGTTTAATTTTAATCAGTAATGTATATAATATGGTTTAATATTTAAATAGCTGATCACATGAATAAATTTAAGTGAGGATTAAACACTGCGTGTCTCAGTAGATTCCAATAGAATAATCCAGGCATGATGGTGTATGCCCGCAATCCCAGCACTTACCAGACAGACCGCTGCAAGCTCAAGGCTAATCAGGTCTATATAATAAGCTCCAGACCAGAACTGTATATAGTGAGAATTTGACCTAAAAAGAAGATCTTATTCATAATTAGCAAAATAACAGTATTAGAAAGAGATTGATTACCTGGTTAGTGGCCCAGACCTTTAATCCCAACACATGGGAGGCAGAGGCAGATAAATCTCTCAAGTTCAAGGCCAGCCTGATCTACAGAGTGACTTCCAGGATAGCCAGGGATACACAGAGAAACCCTATATCAAAAGCAAAGGGGAGCGTGGGTTGAAGAGTCTCATATCCCAGCCTTGGATTTAATATATAGCTGAGGACATCTGCCACCATGCTTAATTTATGCAGATGTGGGTAATGTAGACGGGGTCCAGACTGCATGCTAGGCAAGCACTCTACAGACCTATATCCTCAGACCTACATCTAGGCAGAAATTGGGGGGTGGGGGTAGCAAGTGAGATAGCTCAGTGTGTGAAAATGCTTGCCACAAAAGCCTGATTTCAGAACCAAACTCCAGAGTTGTCCTCTGACCTTTACCACACTCAAGGGTACACACACACGCACACACACACACAGTTAAGAAACAAAGCTATAGAAAGAAATGTCTTTAACCCGATACTGTCTATGTAAAAACCTCTATCATTCAAAAATCTACCAGAAAGTGGAGACCGTTTGATAGTGAGAACAGACAAGCTGCCCCGTTTCACTGCTTATATTTAGAATGATGTTGTTCTTTATCCTAGCCACTGGAGCAAGACACCTGTGAGCCAGAAGAAGCACTCAGTATTTGAACATTTTATGATTTGTTTTTAAAAATGACAAACCTTAATAAGTCTAGAAAGAGATCACTGGATACAATAAAAGTGGCAAGATAATACCAGTTGTCACATTTTTACCCCCAATTAACTGAAACACTAGAAGATACCTTCCTGCAGTAGTGTCTGAACTGCACCCGTTACCTTGAGATTGCAGTGGGATGCACTAGATCACTAGAAGAGGACCAAAGTGAACTTTGGTGTCAGCTAATGATAGTGTGCTGCTTCCGGGAAAGGAGACAGATAGAGCTGGATGGAACAGCTGGCTATTACAGAAAAAGGAAAGCAATCCTTTCACACTACAGGGGGAAATGTTCAATGTAAAGCAATATCTTAAAACTCTGAGAGAATAAGAGATGCATTCTTAGACAGTCTAACAGACCTTAAGATACTTATCATCAGAAAACATGGGAAGACAGGTTATGTAGTGGAAGAATCTATACAAGAATCTATACTTCAAGACCACAAGGAAATAATGACTTTATGCCCAAACACTTGCCCAAAATATTTGAAGCCTAGCAGTAGTAGTTGTTTGTGAACAATGGTTTGACTCTTGAAAGATTGTGGGATATCTTTAAAAGTTGTTTTTTTAATGCATCCTGTACTACAGAAGTTTTACTACACACACACACACACACACACACACCTTACATATGGATTAAAATAAAGAAACTTAAAACCTAGAAATAACCTAAGTCTTCACTGCAGAGGGGTGGTGGGTAGAATGGGAGATCCATGCAAAGTGTGGAGTGGGAAATAGGAGCTGGAGGGCAGCTCAGTGGAGAACAGGTAGCTAGCATCTCAGGGCTTTGGGTTCAGTACTCTACAAAGCAGCCGGGAGAGGTATGAAAATGCACCTCTTACAAATCATAATAAAGTTTTTCTGTAGAAAGGGTGCCAGTGTGAAGCTGAAACACTGTCCTCAGATGAGAGGCAGCAGGAGCTGCTGAGTGACAGTGGTGGCCACAGCCCCAGCTTTTGAACTAGCAGGTACAAGATATTCTGATAAGCAAAAGCTGGCTTTTTGAACCAGTGCAGAGTACTATGAGCCAATGATTATGATAATCCTTTTGTTTACCTGAGGCTGAGTAGTCAAAAGGAAAATGTTAATTATAAAGCTGTTGGATGACCTCATTTTGAAATTGAGTGATGCATGAAAAAATTCCTGAACCAGCTTAAGTGTTACTTTTATTTTCAATAAAATTCTAGTCCTCCAGCTTCACTGTGCTAAATAGTACAACTTAAATTCCAACTTCTGCTATTTCTTGTCCTTCCTGTGCTGATGTGCAGTTTCTGTGTCCCTTAATTTTTCCAGCTGTTCACTTGTATTGCATGGAATGTTTCCTTTACTCCAAGCATACAATGCAAGAGTCCCATTTTCCTGATGTAAAGATAATTTATACAAATCTAATAATGTCTAGAATTCTCTTTTCTTACAGAATTTCTAGAACATTTAACTGAATATTCTTTGGAGTTTTAGAAGTTCCATTCCTTTTTCATACTAGCTTCTTAGCTTTATGCTTTTCCTCTAATTTTTTTTTTTTTTTTTTTTGGTTTTTCGAGACAGGGTTTCTCTGTGTAGCCCTGGCTGTCCTGAAACTCACTCTGTAGACTAGGCTGCCCTCGAACTCAGAAATCCGCCTGCCTCTGCCTCCCAAGTGCTGGGATTAAAGGCGTGCGCCACCACTGCCCGGCACTTTTCCTCTTTTAATGTGTGAACCTTTAAGACTATTAATTCAGAAAGGTAAAGAGATGACTCAGCAGTTAAGAGTATTTGTGACTTTTAAAGATCTAGGTCTGATTCCCAAATGTTACATGGTGTCTCTGTAATTTCCAGGTACACGTTCATATACATAAAACAAATCTTTTAAAAAATGTTTTTAAGAGAGCAAGTGAAATGAGGATGTGGAGATGAGATGAAATATCCATGAAAGACCTTTACAACTAGAAACTGCTGAGGGCCCCCAGTGATCTGTAATGTTAAAAGGGGAAGGGGTTGCTATCAGGAGGGAAGAAGGGCCATCAGTATAGATACTAGGAACATGGAAAGATATTAAAAAAAAAAAATACTGTGGGTCATTCTATGCCCATGAAACTGGATAAATTAAATGACTGGCCAGTTTGTTAAAGGTCTCTGACCTGATTTGTTTGCTATTGTGATGGACAACATGACCAAAGGCAACTTGGAGCGGGGAGTATATTTGGTTTATAACTCCAGATCACGGTCCATCACTAACTGAGGAAAGTCAGGTCAGGAACCGAAGAAGAAACAATGGAGGAGCTGCCTTGTTCCCTATGGATTGCTTGGTTTACTTCTCTTCTATAACCCAAGACCATCTTCCCAAGGGTGGTACTGACCACACTGTGATGGGGACTGGGATCTCCTACATCATTAATTAAGAAAAATGTCACACAGATTTTCCTACTGGCTAATGTCTGATGGAGACGTTTTCTTACCTGAGGTTCCCTCTCACCAAATGATGCTGTTGTGTTTCAAGTTGATGAAAACCCAGCCACAGGAACAAACTCTTAAGATTCATAGATAGAACAGGGTTTATACATTAAAGAGAATGTATCATTACCTTCCAGGAAAAAAAGAAAGTCCCTAGTAAGCAAGCTAGTGAATCCAAACACTTAAAGAAGTTAAACTTTTTTTTTTCAATGTCTTGTAGAATGTAATGGCAGAAAGAATGCTTGCTTTTTTTTTTGAAGATTGCAGAACTTTGTATGAATATTTTGCGTGCACATATATATGTATGTGTACCTGTCTTGGGGTTTTACTGCTGTAAACAGACACTATGACTAAGGTAACTCTTACAAGACAACATTTAATTAGGGCTGGCTTACAGGTTCAGAGATTCAATCCAGTGTCATCAAGGTGGGAGCATGTCAGTGTCCGGGCAGGCATGGTTCAGGCTGACCTGAGTTTTCTACATCTTCATCTGAAGGCCACTAGCAGAATACTAGCTAGATACAATAGAATTCCAGGCTGCTAGGATGGGGGTCTTAAAACCCACACCCACAGTGACATACCTACTCCAACAAGGCCACACCTTCTAATAGTGGCACTCCCTGGGCCCAGCACATACAAACCATTAACAGTACCTCATGCCAGCCTACTACCTGCAGAGGTCAGAGGAGGGTATCAAGTCCTCTGGAACTAGAATTACAGGGAACCAAATTCAGGTTCTGTGTAAGAGCAGCAGGTGTTTTTAGCCACGGAGACGTCTCTCCAGCCCTGAGAGAATGCTTTCTAAATGTATTCTATCAAATACACTGTGAGATATCAGATAGGTGCTTCTCATAAATACCAATGCAAAAGTCCTTAACAAAAATTTGAATCTAAAAATGTATTTTAAGAACTATATACCATAATCAGGCAGGATTTATTCTTGATCTTCAGTAGGGCTAATTGTATGTCTGATACCACATCAATCTGAGAAGATCATCATCATATTGATAGAGATAATTTTAAAAAACTAGGGATATAAAGAAACTTTAAAAGAAAAGGAAAAATGTATCCCAAACCTACCTAACATATTAAGTGATGAAAAAAAAATGGGTACTTAACCTCTGAAGCACAAGGAGGTAAAAATGTTCCCCCTTTCCATACTATTCCATATTGCTCATTTATTATACTAGGAAAAGCTATTCAGATTGGGAAGGAAGAGAGAACCTGTGTTCATTTGCATTTTGTATGCCATCTATCTAGAAAATCTAAAGGAATTAGCATAACTCTGGTAACTAGAAGCAACTATGTTAAGATTAAAATATACAAACATGTCAGGATTCATACCAGCATGAACATTTTGAATAAGGAATTAAGTTTGCTTTACCTTCAAAACAGATACTTAGTTGTAAGTCTAAGTAAAGTAAGTGTAAGATTTATGTCTGGAAAAACTAAAACTAATGAGAAATCAAAGATGAATGGAACAGGAGAGCTGGTTAATATTCACTGATAGGATGACTCGGTCTGTTCTGCACTCTGGTTGTAAATTCAGTGCAATCTCAGTAAGTTATATTTTGGATGAGTATGATTTAAAAGGTCTAGAATAACTTTTTTTTTTAATTGCAAGGTGAAAATTGACAAACTCCAAAATTTAACCACACTGATCCCATAATGAAGACTGACACTGGTGGAAAACTATCTGCAACAGGAAAATTCAGAAATACACCAATGTAACAAAATAAACTGATCTTAGAGAAGAGAAAGACCCTTTGATGAAGGGCCTTCTCAACAAACAATGAGAGGTGACAGGGGATTCAAACAGTAAAAGTGAGTAGAGATATAAACCTTGAACCTTTCATAAAACATCTAGAAACTTCTAGAATCTAGTAGGATAATTTGGAGTTGATGGGCTGACAACATAGTTCAGTTGATAGACCACTTGTCCTTTCTATCCCCAGCACCACATCCCCAGACTTGGTGGTATACACCTGTAATCTCAAAATTCAGAAAGTGGAATTAGGAGGATCAGGAATTCAAGGTAGTCCACAGATACATTGTAAGTTTGAAGTCAGCCAACAAGGATTACATGAGACTGCCATATATCTGGGAGGAGGGGAGGAATAAGTAAAATTCTGGGTGAAGGTTTGAAAAGTTTACATGTGAAAAATGATTAATATCTGTCTTCAAGGAGTATACAGATAACCAGATGAAGGAAGGAAATGCTTTCAGAACCTGGAGAAGAGTCAGCAACAGAGAGATGAGAAAGTAAGCAAAATGGATGAGAAATTCAGCAAGAGAATTGAGAGTTGTTCTGTTTGTTATGAGATAGAATCTCACTAGGTAGCCATGACTGGCCCAGAACTCACTACATAAGCTGGTTTCAAACTCACAGAGATCCACCTGCCTCTACCTCCCAAGTGCTGAGATTAAAAACATGCTTTTTTAAAAAAAGTAGAAGCATGACACAACTTACAAGAACTCTGGTAAATAAGAGATCAAACCTAGGAATCCTTGGGGTGGAAGGATCTGAAGTAACTAAAAACATAGTGAATGTGCTTAATGAAATCACAGGGGAAAAAATGATACTACAGAAAAAACAAATGCAAGGGGCATTTACAATCCCCAGTTGGCCAGAGAACTTCATTATACATACAAAAGTACAAAAGAAACAACATTGAAAGAAGTAAGAAAAAAGTATCAAGTCACAAAAGCAAATGTATCCGAATAACATCAGACCCTCTCACAAGAAACCCTGTAAGTCAGGGAAGCATGGAATGATAAGATTTCAAGTCCTGGAGGTAAACTGCCAACCTATCAAAACTATCTTTTAAAACTGATGAGAAAATACAGCCATTTCAAACAAGGTCAAATAATAGCAATTAGTGACCACTAAGCCAGCAACACTACAGAGTATACTTGGAGAATCCTGAACATAGCGTGAAGAAAGACTAGCCAAGCAAACACAGTAAAGAATAAATTTCATGAGGAAAACTAAGGAACAATCCATTGTGTCGAACACAGTAAGTAAGCAAACTCCTAATCCAAACAGGGGACGATGAACATCCCACCCTATCAGAAAAACCACCTACAATATTTATAGGAGTTAGTATGCCTCTCTCCATAGTAGCCTGAATTTGCTAAGCATGATAGCAATTCATGTAGTCCCACTACTCAAGACTTTGAGGTAGAAAGGTAGCCACAACTTTGAAACTAGCCTGGACTACTTAGTTCCAGACCAGCCTCCACTCCAGATTGAGAACCTTGACTCCAAAAAATCAAATAGTAATAATAATGATTATAGTAATTACCTAAAGTAAATTATCTTTAACTCACAGTTCAAAGAGGTAGACTAGTTGATTGAACTGAAAAACAAGATCCGACTCTCTCTTGTCTCCAAGAAACATACCTGTTGGGCACCACTCAGTTTACCAAGGGAACAGAAGCAGACTTTGCTATTCTGATAACTGATAAAGTAGATGTCGAACCAAAACTAGAAGAGACTAAGATACTACTTATTAATAAAAAAAGATTACTCACTTAACTATAGATTAATAAAAATTATATAAGACATAATCATAAACATGCACTAAAGTTTGGATAGAACTCTCAGTTTCATAAAACAAACACCAATGACTTAAAAAGGACAGATAGATTCTGATATAATAATTTGGGGCGATTTCTAAAATTCAGTAAGTTTTGGAGTTCAGTTTAGGTGAAACCAACCTAACAAATATCTAGAGAATATCCCATCTGTATGAATTACTACTCTCGTTGCTGTGACCAAATACTTGACAAGAAGTATTTAAGGGTGGAAAGATTAAGTTTACAGTTTGAGAAGATGCAGCCCACCATACTAGGGAAGGGACCTAGGATGGCATGGCACAGGATCAGGGAGAAGACTGATCACATTACATCCACAGCTGGGAGGCAGAAGAAGATAAATACTGCTGTCCAGATCCATTTCCAAGAGGTGATACTGCACACATTCATTAACCTTTTGGAAACACACAGACACGTGGAGGTGTGTTTCCATGGTGATTCTAAATCTGATAGTTGACAATACACCCTCCAACAGCCAGAAAGTACAAATTCTCAATAGCGCTTTCTCTAAAATAGATCACAGTTTAGGTCATAAGGCATGTATCCACAATACAAAAGAATTCAGATAACCCTTTTTTATTTTATCAGATTGAGTTTCTGAAGCATTTGCACTAACACAGCCACAGTCTGAGGAGTACTCCCACGAGACCTCACTTTAACTATCATGGACGCTCAAGTTTCTAGTCAGTGATTAGCCATACTTCTAACATCTCTGTCCCCAGAGTCCATAGGTTTTCCTCCCTCCTGCTCTTTCATCTGGAAGTCAACTAACATTAACTAATTGAATTCTTGCATCTACTGTGAAGTGGAACTTTCCACTAGTACTGTACGGATGAAAGCAGAGGCAGAAGAACCCCAAGATGTTAAAACAGGCGCGCCACACTTTTCCAGACGATGGATGGCTCCAACTCCAGTTTTCACCAGCGCTCAGGGTAAGGTCTCTGTGGACCCTGAGCAAGGCTACACAGGCAGATGAACTAGGGACAAAAACCTCTGCAGTATCCAGTGACACCGCAGGAGCTGTAGGCAGCCCTAGACAAAAGAATGGGGTCACTGGGTGGATCCCAAATTCTAAACTGGAGGTGGGGTCAGGGAGAAAGCAGAATTCAGAAGGGAGGCTGGGCAGTTTTGCAAAAGGGCGAGGCCTCAGAGATTATGGAAATAAAGTACCTACAGGGGCGGGGCTTGGGGTCTTGGGAGGTTTAGGTGAGGCCAATACCTGAATCCAGGCGCTGGACCCGGAAGGGGGAGGTTTAGGCATAGGGGTAGAAAGGTCCGACAGTTCCAGGATGGAGATGGAGGTGGAGTAGGGGGAAGGACCAAGGCGGGGCGTAGACAAGACAGCATCTTGGGGGCGGGGCGAGGGCGGGTTGACCCCCAGGACTCTGGGCATATCTGGGGCGGGGCGAGGGCGGGGCGAGGGCGGGGCGAGGGCGGGACGGTCCCAGAGCTCTGGGCACTTCTAGGGCGGATGAGGAGAATTGTCTTGTATATCCGGACCGATGCAATGGTCCTGGATTCGTCGAGGTCGCCGGAGAAGAAAATGGGGTGGTCCCAGGGCGGGTGCCGGGTGGTTCCCGGACAGGAGCTGGACAAGAAGGATGTGGGGCAGTCGAGGGGCGTGGGAATGGGGTGGTCCCGGGGCGGGTGCTGGATGGTACCGAGGGTGGACCCAGGGTAGGGGAGGCGGGAAGAGTGTGGGGCTGTCCCGGGGCGGGTGCTAAAAGGATCTCTAGGGTAGGGAGGCGGTCCCAGGGGGGCGAGTAGGAGTAGGGGTGTGTGCCAGGTGGTACCGGGTATTGGCCGGGGGGCGGGGGAAGGCATTTCCGGGGTTCAGGGCGGTCCCTGAATCTAAAGGCCCTCAGCTAGTCTGATCCTTGCCCTAAGCATAGTCCCGCTAGCCAACCCCTACCAGCCGTGGGTTCTGCTGCCCAGTGCTCGTCAGCATGTCCTTTATTCCGGTGGCCGAGGACTCCGACTTTCCCATCCAAAACCTGCCCTATGGTGTTTTCTCCACTCAAAGCAACGTGAGCTTCGACATTTGGGCTCGGGAGCGGGGAGGTGGGAGCTCTGGTCGGTTTCTCTCGAGCCTTGGTGGATGGCGCCTGTGGCTCCAATGACGCTCAGGATCCATAGCTGTGCACGATACCGAAATTCAGTCTCGGAATATGTGGGCCTGTGCAAGAACCAGATGCATAGAGAAGTGGGAGCTATCACCCCTGCCTGGGCAGCAAGCCTATGCGATTGTGACCCAAAAACGGACACATAATTTCGTAGGCCTTTTCCTTACAAAACGCCGGGTGGTCGTTCACTTCACTGCTTAGTCCTTGACCCTGTCACCTCGAAAGTACCAGCTAACCCCCATAATTTTGAGCAACTCCTCTGAGCACTTCCTGGCCTAGAAACTGCGGTCTAAGACACCGGTTTCTTTTACCTCTAGCCTAAATTCTTTCTGCTCTAGTGTGAGCTGCTAGGCGTTCACTGAACTAATCACAGGTCTCATGGGGCAGGAGAAATGAACTTTGACTTGTACGCATAGTCTGACTTGAAAGAAATCTTTGAAAATGGTTTAGTGAAGCTGAGTTATCAGCAAATATATAAACGGGTCCTTGGGTAGGAAACGCACATCCTCTGAAATGTTTGTGGTATTTTCTGCTTGAGGGTTTTTTTTGGGGGGGGGTTGTTTGTTTTTGTTGTTATTTATTTTGTTTGTTTACAGTGTTGATTCCACTTTGTAAGCCATAGAACTGTGGGAACCTCTTGCACCTAACGAGAGTCTTAATATCTTTGCCAGGATAGACAGGTAGCAGTGTGATAAAGTGCTTGGCTGGCATTCACCAGCAGAAGGAAGAAAGGAAGGAAGTGGTTCCTGGCAATTGATACCTTTCTCCACATCTGTTGTCCCTTTGTATCCTGCCTGTGCTGAGTGCCTTGGTCAGAAGAGTCAAGTAATGGTTTCACAACCACCAGGCATGACTAGATGTTGCAAGGACACAAAGTGAACTTGCTGTCCTTTCCACGTATGAGGTGTGTGGAGCCTTAATATGAGCCAGCCAACCGCCTTCTGGAAGCAGAATACTCCCCCTGGCCTCTTCGGATACTTTGCCCTCAGTGGACATGCTCTCAGCCTTTTCTGAGAAAACCAGTGGGTTAGACAGGGACATTTATGCAGGCAGGCACAGCATGAGGATTTGACTAGGTAGTAAGTGGGTTGTTTTCCCAGGGAGTCTGGAGTTACTGTTCTTCTGTGTGTGGCTAGAGGCTTTTTAGACACCGTATGCCATCATCATCTTGGTTTTGTTTGGGGGGTTGGTGGTGGTGGTGGTGGGTTTTGGGGGATTTTGTTGGTGGTGGGTTTGAGACAGGGTTTCCCTGTGTAGGAACTAAATCTGTAGACTAAGCTTACCTTGAACTCATAGGTTGCCTACCCCTATATCCTAAGTGCTGGGATTAAAGGTGTATGCCCACCATGTCCAGCTTCCTTTTTATTAGTAATAATTTAAATTTTTAGAGCATTTCATGCACAAGTACTGCATCTGTATCATTCCTACTCCCTCTCATCTCTCTAACTTCTCTCTTCTCTCACCCAAATTCATGATCTCTGCTTTAATCATTACTGTTGCATGTATATTCATATATGTGCATATATGAAACGTATATATATATATTGAACTGAATTCATTTAGCTTTGCTCATATGTACATGTGTCCAGCTTGGGATTGGGCAACCTATGTGAATAGTTGTCCCTGGAGGCAACCATTGACTTCCTGTGGTTCTTCATCTAGTGGTGGGACCATGTGGAATTTCCCATCAGCAGTGGCAGCCCAACTGGTGTCATTATGCTGGTCTTGTTCAGGCAGCTATATTATTGAGAGTTTCTAGGTACATTTTCCTGGTCATGTCTAGGGAAAATGATCTATCAACAGGGCCTCTTTCTGTTCCCTCTTGGGTGATTTTTTTTCTGAGCCTTAGGAGTATTACAGATGTGTCTTAGGGCTAGGTACCCCATGATGAGTTGGGATTTTTTATTTTGTTTTGTTTGTTTTTGTTTTATTTTTGTTTTTTGTTTTGTTTTATTCAGGTTTTTTTTTTGGACAGGATCACAGTAGTTTTTATCTGTTAAAAAAAAAAAAAGAAGAAGGTTTCTTTGATAGGTGAGAGATACACTTACCAGTGGGTATAAGGATACATATTTAGAACACACTTAGATATTCTATTGGTTAAGGAAAATGGCAGTAGTAGGTTCTCCTCTTAGGTCTGTGATCTCTCCAACAATGGGCAGCTGGCTAGGTTTTTACAGTAACAGGTATGAGTTCCGTCCTGTTGAGCAGGCCTTAAATTCAATTAGATAGTTGTTGGTTACCCTCAGAATATAAGTGGCTATCTTGCTATTCCAGTGATTATTGTGATTCATAGGTGGTAGAGCTGGGTAAGACTACCGATTATTCTCCTCCCTTGGCAGCTTATAAAGCACTAAAATGACTTAGTACAATTGCTAGGCCTTGTTTACATATGGCTAGGCGGGTAATGCCATGATCAGGTAACAGGTGACTCAATAAGAGAGGTTCCTCCTTGCCTTCAGTAAGGCACAGGATGATTGCCTCTGGGTCTTTCCTGAACATCACCTGAGTGGACCCCTCACTTGGATCCACTCAGCTTTCTGATCTTTGAAGTAAAATGGAGAGACTGAGGCCCAGGGAAATACAGAGATGAGAACATACAGGGAAGCTTCTAAGGGTTATGTGGCCTTGGTCTGTCCCTAACCCCTGGGGACTGCCATTGCAGCTATGTCCCTTAGCCCACTGAAAGGAGCAGGCACTGTAGACAGACACAGTCAAGAATTCCACCTCTCAGCTCTCATGGATCTCCTAGAATCTGGCAGAACTCCTTCTTGAGGTGGCAAGGGAGCCTGGCTTAGGACAGAGTCCCAGGAGGTGAAACCTTCTAACATGCTCAGTTCTGTGAGATCAGAGACCAGCCTTGACAAGATATTTGGGCCTCTGTGTTTATCTGAACCCATGCAGAGCTCTTACAGGGCATAAAAGAAGTTCATTCCTGTGGACTGAGCACTGTGTCTTCTGCAGTTCCCTACAACCTGAGATCTGTTGCATTCAAGCTACCACAGAGCTAGTACTCCAAGTTACTATATGTAGAACACTCACTGCTCTGCTTCCTAAGAGAATGGCCCTAAGCAAAGCCCTGGGCTCAGCATGAAAAGAGATTCAGGTTCTTGGTAAGGGGATGAACAACTCATGACTAGAGATCACACCTCTGCTTTCTTTCTTGTCCCCTGATCCTCTGTCTTCTCTTTATGAGGGTTGTCTCAAAGGAACTCATGAGTCCCTGAGCATTTGCTGTTATAGTAAATGTGCTTTGTCTGTCAGAACCGACTGTCATTCTTCTCCTAGCCAAAGCCACGGATTGGTGTGGCCATCGGTGACCAGATCTTGGACCTGAGTGTCATTAAACATCTCTTTACCGGGCCTGTTCTCTCCAAACATCAGCATGTCTTCGATGAGGTGGGACATTGTGCCATGGATTGTCTTTGTTTCACCACCTACTGCAAATAAGATAGTACTTTCTTAGTCGCCAGTTATCCCTGGATGAGTGGGAGCTGTTCTGAAACACATAGGAGGCAGGAGATAGCCTTGACACCTTAGGGTGTTCTCTCAACAGAACATGAGCTCCTGAGTCCATTGGGACTCTCTAAGTTGCCTATGAGGTGAGAATATTCTGTCACCCTGCTTCCTTTATAAACAGGGAGGTTCATGCTTTGGTCTTTTGAGGTCCAGGGAAACCTTGAGAAAAGGAGCCATGAGTCTGGCAGTCTAGATTGGGGTACAGCTTGCGACACATCCTGGCCTCCATGTTCATGGTGATGGCTGCCCAGTCCTTCAAGGGTACACACCTGGGGCATCCAACCTTGCATGTATGTCTGTGTAGGATGGCTACCCTGCCATCCAGGCATGCAGTTGTGCCTGGGGGCAGTCAGCTTGTCTGCTATGTGTGATGTAACTTTCCTCCCTTGACACAGCTTAGCTCTTAGGATCTGCTTTTTCCTGAAACACTGGCAAGGATAGTTGTGGTATTTACCAAGTACCTCTTCTGTTCAGGAGCTTTGCACACATCCTTCCTACCCGTCCCCCTGACCGCCCTCTGCCACAGAGTGAGTATTGTTGCTAGAAAAGTGGAACTTGTACAGTTACTGAGTTGCTGTCTGAATAATAGCTTGTCAGCAGTGATTGTGAGATGCATCTCTAGGAGTGAATGGGACATCAAGGAAGGTGACAGCTTTCTCCAGCTCTGTGCAGAGAAGACAAAATGTAAACAAAGGTCCCAACTTGTGAATGGATGAAGAGAAGTCAGGCAGACAGGAGGCATATCCCAGGACTTTTCTCAGGTACAACCTCCTCTTTTCCTGTTTTTGGTCTTAGACAACTCTCAATAACTTTATGGGCCTGGGTCAAGCTGCATGGAAGGAGGCAAGAGCATTCTTACAGAACTTACTGTCTGCCAGCCAAGCCCAGCTCAGAGATGACAAGGAGCTTCAGCAGCGGTGAGACTACATGGGAAAGAGTGCCATGTCAGGGGAGATTAGGCCTGGATTATTGGCAGTGTCCTTCTGTATGGCTGATTGGCTGTCTGGCTGCCTGTCCTGGTACAGTCAGGACAACTTCATCCATCCCCACTGGGTTGCATGTTGGTGGGAGGTGTCTGGGCCTGGAAGACTGGATTGAGCCCCTGATTCTGTGTTTCAGTGCTTTCACTTCCCAGGCTTCTGCCACGATGCACCTTCCTGCTACCATAGGTGAGTCCTGTTTTCCTGCTGTGCCAACCAGAGTAATTTAGTGGGCCTAGATGGCTAGACAGATGCATTGGAACCCCATATCTTGGTGGAGAGAAAACAGATCGAGAACTCTAGGATTGCCAGCTGATCCCAATGTGACCATGCTCGTTGAATAGTAAAGCTTGGTTCAGTTGTCACAAGCCTGCTCTCCTAGTGCAGCAGCCTAAGTTTGTGACTAGCTATATGGATACCTGTACAACAGTTCACTTCATCTTCCCAAAAGAGTACGAGGTAAGCACTTTGAGCTGTCAGGAGTGAGGGTGTTTTGAAGAAAGCCACAGGGCCCTGCAGGGCCCATGTATGCATTTGGGCAGGCATTTGGTTTGACTGAATCAGCAAGTTGCTGTCAGTACAGCTTCATAGCATGAAGCAGCCATAGGCTGCTTCATCCTTGTGTGTCAGCTATGAGGGAAAGCCTCAGCTCTTGCCTGGGCACCTGTGATCTGAGAACTGTATAGCTTTGTCCTGAGAGGATGGGATTCCTGGAACAAGTTTCTCCATTCAGCAAAGCCTTCCATAGGTGCTGGTGGCCAACAGCTAGGGGGAAGGTGGGCTTGAGAATGGGTTCATCTCTTGTTTTCCTATAGGACTATGCTATGTGTTTTTATGGCAAACCAGTTGTTGTTTTCTAGGGACCCTTCATCCTTTCCAGCTAACTGATGCTGTGACTTCTTGTTTTTACTGTTATGGGTGTGATTATTCTTGTGATATTTCCACTGCTGTTTCTGTCCACAGGACTGAAGGTGGGAAGTAGTAAGCCCAGCTCAGGCTGTCCCATCTCTTGCTTACTTGGCTCCCAGACTGCGTATCCTCTCCTTATTCTGCCTCTTCCACTTCTAGTCTAAGCGCTGGGGTTGGTGTACTCAGCTTTGCTTTGTGGGTAGATGCAGAAGGTTCAGGAAGATGAGTAAGCAAACTACCCTAAGTGGATGTTCTAGTAGTGGATGTTCTTAGTAATTCACATGTGAGAGAAGGGATATCTGGTATTCATGAACCATCCACATTCAGCTCATCACAATCAACAGACACTGATAGACCAGTACAAGTACAAAGACAAGAGGCTTTGTTCTTGGTGTTCAGGGCCAGTCATATGACACGAGGGCTGAACAGGGACTGCCCTGAATGGTGACAATTGAGCAAAAGTCTGCACACATGGGACTAGAGTACAGTGAGGCCCACCCCCAAAGAAGGGTTCAGTAATGGGGCCTTAGAATAGCCAGGATTTAAACCAACAGAGATATGAGAGAAGTAAGGCTAAGGAGCAAGCATATGTTAAACAAAGGTGTAGCAAGGATTGTGCACGTGAGATTCCCAGCTCAGGGCCACAGTCTGTCATATCCACCCACCTTAAGCAGGAACCCGGAGGCCAGACCAGCCTGCTGTGTCCTCCAAGTCTGACGCTATTGTCTATTTTTCTGGACATCTATGATACGTGGTACAAATTGGGAGAAGGGTAGTGACAACAACTCCATATTTAAATCTCACTGTTTGATTCAGAAAGTATGGACTTACTTTCTTTTTTCTTGTGTTAAGGGATCCTCTAATCTTGAAGAATGGTTTGAGCCCCTGCTTTTGGGCTCAGACTTCCTCCATCTAGGTTACTGGCTGTTTTGGGTGTTCCCTCTGCAGGAGACTACACGGACTTCTACTCTTCTCGGCAGCATGCCACTAATGTTGGCATTATGTTCAGGGGCAAGGAGAATGCGCTGTTGCCAAATTGGTATGTCCTAGACCAGATGCTGGGATAAATTCAAAGTCAGCTCTTCTCTACAGTGTGTTTTTCCCAGCAGCAAAGACCCTGTTTGGTCAAAGTAGCCTAAGGAAAAACCTAGAACTGAAGAGCAGGCCCAGCTTTTGGTTCCCTTAGCATGACTTTAGGGGTCCTGGGCTATACAGGGTATCACAGGACTGTGTAAACATCCTTTCACCTCTCCTCTGGAGAACAGAAATGGGAATTCAACCCTCTAGATCCTTTTGTTGGCAGACTGCCTATTATTGTTCTGTTACTATTGCTCTAGCATTCAGAAAAAAAAGATCAGAAACCTAAATTATGTTCAAGCATTTTAGAATTCAAGTATTATCTCTGTAATGAAGAACATGTGCATAAGGGAAACCAAAGGTAGCACTGTGGGCCACTCTGATGTTAAGGAAATCCAGGCCAAAGGCTGCGGCCCTTCAGTTTGGTTCAGACGAGGATAGGGACCCATTTCCTCACCCAGCCTTGCTCCTCACCTTCTGATGCCTGGCATTTGGGCTAGAGAAGTTCTGGTATCCTGATGACTTTGGGGCTAGACAGTCTGCTGGGTCATTTTCCCTGAAATCATACAGTCTCTGATTAGCTGTGGATAAATACAGCCTGGACCTGTGCAGGGCAGCAGTCTGCCATATCCACACCTACCTTAATCAGGAGCCTGGAGACCGGCCCAGCCCACTGTGTCCAGCAAGTGTGACCCTATCGTCCATTTTTATGGTGCCATGCACAGTCTTTGTGGCTGTATCACTCCCATCTGTTTCTGTCTTCACATGGCTGTCTCCTCTTCTTCGTGTACAAGGACACCTTGTACAAGGACACCCTAGGATATAGGAATGCTCAGATGATCCAGGCTATTAATTACGTCTAAAAAGACTGTTTCTACAGGGGTTGGGGTAGAGACAGATCTTTTGTGGAATTGCCACTCACTGCACTGCAGGCCTAACCTCTAGCTTTATTCAAATAATCATAGGTACTTATTACACAGTATCGTCTCACCCACACGGTCCTGTCTGTTCGTCTAAGAGCACCCCTAGCCAACACCTCAGTTATTTTGATATTTGGGGGAAAAAGACCCTTTTATTTCCTCTTCATGTTTTTGTTTTACAAGTATCTTCTAACAGTTTTCCCCAGCCTTGGATAGCTATTTGCTCTGAGCTTTATGATTTATTCCCAGGGCTCCCTTTTATTGGAGATGGGCAGAGTCCACAAAGGAAGCAGCAGAGCACTGACTATGATCAAAGAAACCTGGGTTCTTTATTGTCCCTCCTTTTCCTCCTCCTCTTCCTCATTTTCCTCTTTCTCTTCCTCTTCTCCCTCCTTCTCCTCCCCCTCTTCCTCCTCACTGTATAGCTAGCTCTGGCTGGCCTAGAACTTACAGTGTGCAGGAGGCTGGCCTCAAGCTGCTGGTACTCCTCCTGCCTCTGTCTTCTGAGTGCCGGGATTGCAGGCATGACTTACCCCCCTTGCTTCTTAAAGCTGAATCATTCCCCCACTCCATCCCTCATGTGATATACCACATTTTTTTCTCCATTCATCTATCAGTAGATACTTGGGGTCATGTTTTAATTTTCGAATGAATGTATGTTAACTCTTTCTGAAGTTTAGTTTACAACATGTAGCAGTTTGGGTACCCATGTTCTGTCACCACCCTCCTTTACCAGGCTCCACTTACCTGTGGGATACCATGGCCGAGCTTCCTCTGTTGTGATATCTGGCACCCCGATTCGAAGACCCATGGGACAGATGAGACCTGATAACTGTATGTGACTCCAGTATCCTGGCTCTACACTGTTGCTATGAGCTCTGTAGCCTGGTACTGATGGTTGCTTTTATCTGCCATCTTTCCAGCAAAGCCGCCTGTGTATGGCGCCTGCAGACTCTTAGACATGGAGTTGGAAATGGTGAGTTATGTGAAGCGTTTTGATGAGTGGGATCCACAAAGCCCTGTGGCAGTAAAGCTCTCTTACTGGGCAAGCACTTCACACCTGTCTGGCCACAAATAGCAGCCCCGTGTCCCCATGTGACCACTGAATGCAGTTGATGCTCTTTCTTCAGATTCTGTGTTTGTGAATTCTCCCACTTGCTGAAACTTATTTGCAACCCAAATATTAACACAAGTCATTGCCACACAGAGAAGTGGAAAATTTGAGTCTCCGGATAGATACACTTGTCCCCAGTTGAGGTCACACCAGGCTCCCTGTCTTCTTGTTTCAGGTCTCATGCTATAAAAACAGGTTAAATTTTTGTCTGTTTTTTTTCCATATTTTCTACATTCTTATGTGATTTGAGCTGCTATTATTATTTATAATACCCCCTAAGTGGAGGTCCAATGTGGTTCCCTAACTGCAGGAGGGCAGATGCCCCTTACAAAGACATGTATTAGCAAAGCCCCACTCATACCTGTGTTGTAGCTGTTGATGGGAAATGCAGTGTTAATGAGCCAGTGCTGTATCAGCTATCTTTAACAAAAAGAGGTAAAATATGGTTAGATAAAATGACTTCCTGTTCAATTTAGTGAGTGTTGTAGCCAGAGGCTATGAAAACTCAGCTTGTTGCATCTAGTGGAAGCACCGGGCCACATTGTTCCGTCACATTCATGGTGATTTTATACAATGTCACATGAACAACAAGCATCAAATAAATGGACATATCCACCTTGTTGTGCTGGTGGCAGGGCCTGTATGTATCACTTGAGAAAGGCTTACACCAAGGCTCTGGTCTTTACTTAAATTAAGCATTTTATTTTGAGAGTGCTGAAGACTCATATGTGGTTGTGAGAAAAGAGGTGGAGATCCCCTGAACTTGAAAGAGACGGGGTCTCCATGCCTTGGTGGCCTCAGCTCTTTTTTCTGTGTATCTTGATGAAGGTTTTCCACTGTTTATGTCCCTATCTCAAGGACAAATATAACAGTGACCCTAGTTCCACGAATGTAGATGATTCTGTGCTGTTCAAGGAGCTCCCTCTCCCCCGAATATAGTTTTCCTTAGACATGATTGTTGGATGTTCTCTTGGTCCGTGGCTATTGGACAGATGCCATTCCTCTGGGAACAGGTTGGACTGTGAAGTCAACTTGTCAATTCTCCTGGCATGAGCACATGTGACGTTTCCATTCTTTACAAGTCTCATGTGCTGTCAGAGGTTAGGGTAAGGGATGTGGGTTACAGAGGAAGCAGCAGAAAGGCCTGGGGTGCCCTGAAGGTCAGGAAGAAATTGTCATGAGGCTGGTGGGGATAAAAGAGCACACATGAGTACACTTCCCATCTTAGAGACCCAATGAATTAATGCCAGGTCCTCAGGCAGCCCTAGTCCCTGGTTGAACTTTGAAAATATTTTCCCTTTTCTCTGTAAGCCACAGTGACCCAGAGCAACAGGTCATCTAGATTCTAACCAACTTTTTCCATGGAAGGCTTTCTTTGTAGGCCCTGGGAACAGATTTGGAGAGCCAATCCCCATTTCCAAAGCCCACGAACATATTTTCGGGATGGTCCTCATGAACGACTGGAGTGGTAATGCCTGGTGGCCCAGCTTCTTCTGATATTCTGTTCTGAGGGGCGCACACAGGAGTTGGGTATGGGATAGGAGGCCTAAACACTGCAGGAGTGGTACCATACAGACTTCTGACTCTGTGGGTATGGGCCAGTCTCAGCTTCCTCATAAGCAGAAGGATGGAGCTAACAGAACCTAAAGCTTTATCAAGCCCTACAAACTCACTCACTGTTGTCAGTACCATCATCTGCTAATGAACTGAATATGGATGGATTTTAGCCAGTGACTGGGTTGAGACTCAGCCCAGCATCTGGGTCCCAGCTCTGCACCCTGATACCATGTGTAAGAGGAAGTGGGTTCAGAAATCTCAGAAGAGGGCCTTCCCCATTCAGGCCCTTTATAGGGATTATCCTGTTACCCTTCATTGTACCCTAGCACAGTGCCTCCAAGGACCTCTGTCTTCATATTGAGTACCCTTCTTTTTGTTCCCTGGGAGATCTGGTTGGCCATAGCCATGTAGAGAGGTCCAAGTAGGTCAGGGGCAGGACTGTACGCCACTGTGAGTTTTAAGCTTGCTGTCTTTCCATAGCACGAGATATCCAGCAATGGGAATATGTCCCCCTTGGGCCATTCCTGGGGAAAAGCTTTGGAACAACCATCTCCCCATGGGTGGTGCCTATGGATGCCCTCCTGCCGTTTGTGGTGCCAAACCCGAAGCAGGTAAGCACCTTTCCGCTGAAAGCTTTGCTCTAAGTTCCTGCGTCTGCCCTTTCCTGTTACCCTCAGATACTGAAACACGGTGGTGCTTGGAGGATCGTGGCACAGTGTCCAGGCAGCCATGGCTCCAGGGGTTTTCTTCCTCCAACACAGTTCACAGACAAAAACATAATTTTGTAGGTTTCAGAGTTCAGGGGAACAACCTGGCAAAACCCTAACCACAAAGCTGCCCCATTACGCTATTTTGGTTTGTGCAATGGCTCCCTCTAGAGCCTAATTTTTAGAATGCATTTTGGAATAGAGGCTATAAGGGAAAAAGTGTGTGTCTCTAACAGGGTTCCCAGCACAATATCCCACTACAGTCACCCTGCCCCTTATGGCCAATACCCTGAAGGCCCTAACTAATCTCAAACATGGCTCAGGAAAATGACCTATCTGCTCCTTCTGTATCTCTCGGCCTAACTCTCCTCCAGAGGGCTCTGTTCTGCTCCTGGCTCTCTCTACCATCCCTCCCTACACTCTCACTGGCATTGTTTCTGCCAGCCTGTGTACTACTGCACTTCCTCCCTGACTTGTCCATGTCATTTTATGCTTGAACACCCTTGGGACTTTCCCCTGCTAATTGGTCCTTCATAAAAGTCCCCGAAAGGTTTTCACTCTGTCTCCGGATCTTCCCCAGCTGTTCCCACCGCAGCACCCTCTTCTCCCCTCCGGTGGTCTCCCTGCCTTTTGTCTCTCACCCTCCACTGTCCTTCTCATCTTCTCCCCACACAGGGCCTGTTGGGCCCCTGCTTTTAATGGTCCACATCCTCCTTCTTGGTCCTTCCTCCAGGTCTATCCTCACAGGGATGTCTGGATGCCGACCCCTCTGTCCTTCCCAAGTAGTTTATGTACAGCTGTCACCACTCTTGCCCCTTCCCAACTAATCAGCAGGTTTCCCCCCAGAGCAGTTTCTAATTTAACCCTTCATGCACTGGGAAGGAGCTGTATTCCCCGTAAGTATCTCTAGTCACACAGTTACCATTAAAAACGCACAGCTGTTCAGACTACCCAGAGTGATCTACTATCCTGCTAAATGATTTTGTGCTGTATTTTGGGACAACACTGTTTGTCCAATGTGCAGCACTCTGACTGGACATCAACTGCCTTCCAAGCTGTTCCAGCACCAAAGATGGCTGCCAACTTTACTGCTGCTAGGCCTTCTGCCTTCCAGGGCATCCACCTTGCCCTCGCTATTGTCCTAGCCTTTCCTTACAGGTTCTATGGTCCATCTCTGATCTCCCATTGTCCCCCTCCTAAGTCTATCCTCCCCCAGCTTCCTGAAGCATTGTTATTTCCTGTGAACTTTAACCTACTTCTACACACACACACACACACACACACACACACACACACCTCAGCTTATTTTCTAAAGTATGGCACATGTGACCTCCTGACTCTTACTGTCCGACCAAGGACAGTGTGTAGGGACAGGGTCCCTGGAGAAGAAACACTGTTGCCACATGGAACACTCTGTATTGGAGAGCAGAGGCTGCTGGGAACTCAGCCCTTCTGATAGCCACAGCTTTGATGTGCTCTTCCCTTTTAGGACCCTAAGCCCTTGCCATATCTCTGCCACAGCCAGCCCTACACATTTGATATCAACCTGTCTGTTGCTTTGAAAGGTATGTAATGGGGTGAGTGGTGTTGCCTAGCCTTAGCAGGCAGGTATGGCATGGCTCCATTGCCCCAAGGGAGCTTTGCTGGGTGGAACTAGAGGCACCTGCTGCAGTCTGGAGGCTGTGTGGAGCTCTTGTAAAGAAAGAAGAGTGTGAGGGCCATCCTCCAGTTCAGATTCATTTTCCTACACTGGAGGCTTTTTCCACCACCCCATGTTTGACTTCTAGCCAGTGTCTACCTAGTCTGTTCACATCTGTTGCTGCCACCTACCTTATACTGCAACCCAGATATGCGGTGCATTTCATCAAACGCCTGTTTCAAAGCCTGATCTCACCAGCTCAGGAGACAGTGAGAAGGAGGGCTCAGTCCTGAGCTGTATCCCGGGCAGCTCAGAGAACCATGTTGATGGCCTGCCTCCCCTGAGTCTGTCTGCAACTAAGCTGTGATGTGAGGGGCTGGCTCTACAGGCCAAGCTGTCATGTGAGGGACCTACTATGCAGGCCGTGGTGGTGGAGCCTCAGCCCTACTCTTGTCTAGATTTGGAACTTGGGCAAGTACTGAACAATGCCCTAGTTTGTCATCTGTGAAACAGGGTAACTATAACATTGGTTTTAGAGATGATGGTGATGGCTAAGGAAACTGGTCCTGAACAGAACCTGTAACTAGGAAGGAGCAGGTGTCATCTTTATGTTCATGGTGGAAGAGCACTTGCCTTGGAAGAGCACATTTAGAGACATTAAGTTTCCCAAGGCCGAACTCTAGTTAGCCCCTTAGTTTCTCAATTTCTCTCTTTTTATCGGGGATCACACAGAGGCTCTGCCATGTCCTTATGGCCAGTTCGTGGCTTTCAGGAGTGGCAGGAGACTCAGTTTCTTAAGGAACAAGTAGCAGGATGCTCCACCTAGGAAAGATCTAAAAGCCACTGTACCTGTCCCATCCTTTCATGTCTCCAGTCAGGAAACTAAGGCTCAGAGAGTAAGGATTACCCTGAGTCACTGGGTAACATGTCCCAGTCCCTTGCCACCAATAGAATTTAAACTCAACCTTAAACCTCTGCTCTTTGAACACCAATTCTTCAAAAAAAAAAATCTCTGTCTGAGTTCCCAGGCTGACCCCAGCTGTTCTGGCTCCAAGGTATCTTCATGGCCTTGACATCCAATATATCAGGTTATGTTCTGTTGCCATGATTTCCTTGGGAAGGATAAGCACATGTGGGGACAGGCCACCAGGAGAAACCTGGCCGTTCCACTCTGTACTGGGATAGCTGGGGACATGGTGGAGCTGTAAATTCTAGGCTAGTGCTTTCACTCACAGATGAATCCTTGGAGTGCCTTCCCATCATGCTCTTGCTCTGAACATTTTCCTCTGTGTCAGTGAAGGGCACTGATGGGGAGGTACAGGATGGGAATTAAAACACATCACATCTGTGTGGTACAGTGTTGAAGTGACAGTTCTGAGGTTCCAAGTCAGCACCAGAATAGCAGAGTTGGAAAGCAGCAATGTGGGCACCCTGACCTCCCGTGGGACTGCTGAGCTCACCTTCTGTTATAGAGGGGCAGCAAGCACAAAGGGAAGAGCTGGGTTTGGAGGGTGGAAGCACTTTCTAGTGGTTCATACTGTTTCAGAACACGGCAGCATTCGCTGAGCTCTTGCATGGAGAAAGGACTGCTGGCATCAGTGATGAATGTCACTGTCTGTCATTACAGAAGTGTAGCGCGTAGACCAGCTATCCCAAGGGTAGCAGGCTGTGCTTGATCGAGGTCACATGTAGGTTTCAGCCTATATTGTCTTTGGTGGCCTGGTGGATATCAGGAGCATTGTTATAAAACGTACTTTGAAGACATGTCTAGATTCTGAGGCACACGTGCCTCTGTCAGCTAGTGAGTAGTGCTTGCTATGGTTGTGGGAGAAGGAGCTGATAACATGGGTGCACATCTTTGCCCTTCCTCGACTAGATGGCTTCAGTGTGCATATCCCAGCTCTGACACTCTCTAAGCTTACTGGTCCACAGACTACGTGAAATCGTATCAGAGAGCTGGAAGCAGTTCTCTTCCTGGTCAGCAATACTAAATCTGCATAAGTATTATTTCTCAATTTCTGACAGGAGAAGGAATGAGCCAGGCGGCTACCATCTGCAGGTCCAACTTTAAGGTGAGTTTGGAGACCATCCGACTGCTTTGTGGAAGGGGAAGAACGTGACAGGAACAAAAGACATTTTGTTTCATTTGGGAGTGAAATGACACATCAGCCTGAAAGCCTGCAGTCTCCTCGACCCTCTTCCTTTCTAGAGATTCATGACATCACAGAGTTCCCTCAGGATAGAAGCTGCTGCACAAAAGTGGCCAAAGTTTTCTGGGTACATTTCCCATCCTATAAAGGCCAAACTTCTTGATCCTATGTCCGGATAGTCTGGGCTGATGAAAGCGCTTTCTGTGTGCACATGGGGAGCCCTGAAGTTGACAGGGGGTGTCTTCCTTAGCCACCCTCCACCTTATTTTTGAAACAAGGTCTCTCGTTGAATTTGGAGATCACTGATTGATTACAGTGTCTGTCCAGCAAGTCTTGGGGTCCTCCTGTCTCCACCTCCTTAGTGCTGAGATTACAGGCACACACTGCACCCAGATTTTTATTTGGGCCATGGGATTCAGTAAAATGTGGGCCTGTGTGCCTGTGCAGCAAGCTTTACTAGCAGAGACATCAAACAGTTTCCAAGTATTTATTAGTTTCTCAATTGTGTTTGCATGTATGCACACCTATGGACTGATTTCTGAAGTTGGTGTCATGGCGGTTGTGAGGCACCTGACACAAGTGTTGACAAACTACCTTGAGTTCCCTGCTAGAGAAGTATGTATTCTTAAATGCAGAGCCATCAAAAGGGCAGGCTTTTTATTGAAACAACAGCACACACATGCATAGATCCTGTACAGATTTGCAAATGCCAAAATCGTACGTGAAGACACTGAGGAGTTTTCACAAAGAAAGTGTACCTCTTCACCCAGACTGACTTATGTCAAAAAGGGGAATTCCCAGCCCTCAGTCGGCTCTGCCTCTTTTCAGCCATGCCTTCATTTCCCCAATGTAGGCTGAATCTCTTTGCTTCTGCTGCTATACACTGACTTTGTCTGTTTATTAGTTTTATATGGGATTGTTATAGTGTGTGTCTATTCTGCTGGGCTTCATTGTTTCGATGCTGGATTTGTGAGGTTCAGTCCCATTGTTTGCAGTGGGAGCTTGTTTGTCTCATTGCTTATAGGATACTACACTGCCAGCTCCACAATGGGTGATGGCCATTTGGTTGCTTCCAGATTTTGGCTATCCTTGAATTACTGTCAGCATTCTAGTACATAGCTCTTGGAGTACGTGTGTGCACATTTCTCTTGGATATATATATCTAGGAATAGAACTGCTGTGTCATAAGACACACACACACACGCACACACACACTGAGAGACAGAGATATGCACTTGCACACATGCACAATCCTAAATATACACACCACAAAGCAAAGTGTATAGTTCAGTATAGTATAAGGAATACTTTTGAATAACTTCCGAAACATTTATTCATGTGGATTGATTTGGTTACTTTTTTGTTGCCACTATAAAATATCATGGCAAAAGCAACCTAAGGGTTTATTTGAGCTCATAGTTTGAGTTTGAGTCATAGCAGCAGGAGCTTGAAGCAGCAGGAGCTTGAACACCACGGCCACAGTCAAGAAACAGAACAAAATTTTTATGCTCAGTCCCTTGCACCTTACATTCCATCCAGGGTCCAGCCCATGAGAAACTTTTCTTCAAATTTAGGATGTGTCCTTCCACTTCTATAAACCATATCAAGAGAATCCCTCACAGGCATGTCCACAGGTCAACTAAATCTGGACAGTCCTTCATAGTGGCTTCTTCCTCAGGTGGGTATAGATTATATCAAGTTGGCAACTGAGATTGGCCAGCACACGGACACTCCCACTAGTGACATCTAAGACATTTTGCTGCTTCATGTATAGACAGCATGTAGTGTCTTTTTCAATTCAGCCATTTGGGAGCATTGTGGCTTCTCTTGTATTTTCCTACTGACTAATGCAGCTGGGGACCTCTTCAAATGTTCATTGGCCACTTGAAGACTCTATGAATGTTTTGCATAGTGTTCTTTCTAGAAAAAAGAAGTAAAGAGTTTGAAAAGGAACTGAGGGAAGAACCCACTTCTGAGGACTGGTTGCCTGCCTGCAACCAGAAGGGAGATGGAGGAAGTTGTGTCATCCTAGAGGCTTGGGCATCTGAATGCCTGAGACACAGGAGACTTGGCTTCATCTCCAACCCTTTCATTGCCATTTTGCTCTGATATTCTGTTCAAATCATTTCATCTTTCAGGGCTGGGGTCAACTCCAAGGCCTAGGCTGCAGGGTCTTCAGCCGGGCCTTGGTACTGCAGAAAAGACAATCCACCAGGAATGCTTCTGAGAACTCCTAGGCCTGAGGGCTGAGCAGGCCCAGATTTCAGGCATCTTAGAAAAGATGGTTGGAGAGATGAGGTTCCACAGGAAATGGTGGACAAGGTGGGCTCCCATCTCAGAGACAGACAGCAGGTCATCTAGAGGGACTAGAGGAAGGCAAAAATCTCAATTAAAACAAAGCAAGCATAAACATAAATTACAAGTAGTGTGGAGGGCAGGAAAGGCATGCAGCAGGCTGACTAAATCTTTCCCAGAAAGCAGGATACCCACACATGTACCGCTGTGTTCCTGCCCCCAGCATATGTACTGGACCATGCTGCAGCAACTCACACATCACTCTGTTAACGGATGCAATCTGAGACCTGGGGACCTCTTGGCTTCTGGAACCATCAGTGGATCTGTGAGTCTCAAGCGACCACATGGGTCACCAAGTCAAAGATAGGCGAATTGAGCAATTTGGGGGTTAGAGTGCTTCCCTGCTACACACAGACCAAGAACGACCTGTGTGAGAACTAGAGCTTGACTCTGTCTCCCCAGAAAGCAGCAGCCACTCTATCTAATCCTCTGCCCCTCCACCCCCGGGATGAGGAGACTTCACAGCTGCATCCTTATCTACCCCTGAGCTACCATGAGCCTGGGAGGGGTGCACAACTTTGTAAACAATGGTGGTGAGGGTGGGGTGAATATGTTGGCTTCACTGTGAGTCCCTGGCCATGTTGACTGGGATGTGACAGTCTCTTGTCAGTTGTAGAGTATGGGACATGACACTGTCTGGGGTTGTGAGCTGCAGTCTGTGGAGTTAGCACACTGAAGTGGGCCTCTGGTCCACAATAGGCACAAGACCTTGAATAGATAGCATGCTTACAGGAAGAATGAAGGCACAGTCTGTCACCTGGATATGTCCAAAGTGGCCTCAAAGGTTTTATGGGCCCCCAGTTCTCACTGTACTGTCCACACTAGAGCTGATGTATCACCAAGATATAAATACATGCTGGCTTCCCCCTTTCTTCTTATAAAGGACCCTGAAAGCTTTGGCTCCATGCTGGAACTGTCCTGGAAGGGAACAAAGCCCATCGACGTGGGGCAGGGGAAGACCAGGACCTTCCTGCTGGATGGCGATGAAATCATCATAACAGGTATGAACCACCAAGCCCTTTAGGCCAAGAGTACCCATCTGATAATGGACCATCAGTCTCCTTTGTATTTATGGGCCTTCCTGGATTCTGTGTCTTCATGATATGCCCTGGGCTAGAGCCTGGGTTCTTGGGGACTTCATGTCTTAGTGTCCACACAGGTGAAACACTGTGAGAATTTGTTTTGCATCCCCCACCCCCAACCCCACCCCCAGCAATTACCCAGTAATGGTTGGGCCTTTGCTTTCTGGACTATGTCCAAAACAATGGCCAGGGTCTGACCTGGAACTAGGGTCAGGGAGGGCATGAGGTAGTGCCTGAAGGTCTCGCAGCCCCTTCCCAGGAGGTCGGGACCTTGTATCTTTTGTTGCCATTCTACCTTCCACACATTTATTAATAGCAAGGAAGGTACTGTCTTGGTCCAAAGACCACTTCCTGGAATCAGAAACATTCCAGTGACCTCCCAGGAACTCACCCACAGTGTGACCATTGAGGTACTCAACATTCCGAGACTCGACTGGTCTCGTCGTGATAAGGCCACGTTGGTAGTAGATCTATAGGATTATGTCAACAGCTTTGACATTGATAGATGTGCACTGGGACCCTGCCCATGGAGGGCATCCTGAAACTCCAGAGATAAGGACACTGGCTCACACTGCTCTATCATTTGTGGACTGTTGTACACAGAGTGAGATTGGCACTTCAGACAATGAATAAGGAAGTCTGACTTCTCCTCCAGGCAACTGATCTGTATAGTCTCAATTCTTTTCACCATCAGGGCATCTAAAGCCTAGAGTACATGTTCCAACTAAAATACTTGAATTAGTGATGATGTATACACAGTTCTTCTTGCTCTCTGTTGTTTTACACAGCTGTTTCCAGAGGGCCCAGCATCTTGACCTTTCTTTGATGAGATCCTCTCTGAGAAGCATTCCTTCACCGGGCCTAAAACCATCTACATTCCCACCAGCTTGACTCTCAGCCCACCACCACTCATTTCCTCTTGTGCATCTTCTGGTCTCCCATACTCCCGTACTTGATGCTATCCTGATATCAATAGGCCATCCTGTGAACTGGAACCTTGGCCCCAATTCCTTATGGTCTGATGAATATCTCTGTGCAGCTGACATACTCTACATATCCCATGGATGCCCAGCTGGAGCCCTCACAAAACCTCTGCAATAGACCCATCAGTCCTGCCCACAGGGTCCTTAGGCTTGCTCCACACTGCTCCTATTCTGCCCAAGATCCTCCCGTGGTACCCCTCTGGTGCCTCATACAATCTATCCATTTGGCATGCGATTCTGTGTGGCCCCACTCGGCCTCCTACCACAGACCCTCTGCTATCATAGGACCACATTCCTTAGAGCCTGTGGACTGTCCCCCCCCCCCCCCGTGCCTCAGCCCGGCACAGGCTTCTCTGCCACACAGGCAGTCACCTCTGTACTCTCCCAGCATCTCTCTCAGTGCCATTCTAGTCAGCAGCATGCCTGTCAGCTCCCATACCTAGCCAAGGGCTCCTGTCCATTTCCTGTTATGGACTTGATGGTCTTCTCTTACAGATCTGGAAGGCAGAAATCTGATATACAGGTGGTGAGAGAACTGCGCTCCTTCCAGAGGCCCCAGAGAAAGGCCCATTCACCTTAGGCATTATAAGTCACACGTAGATGATTGCAAGCATTGGGACCTTGTGTGTGGGCCATCTGCAAACTGTTCAGGGGCTGCCTCTGGAGATGCCAAAGGCTGACTGTATTTATTGAATGTCTGTAGAGCACAGCTGTGTTGGAGGTATTTCTACTTCCACTTCATTTTTTTACTCACCCAAGCCTTTTGGAAATGTGTCATTGCCCCAGTTTCGAGAAGTAAAAAAAAAAAAAAAAAAAGCTAGGAGAGAATCATGGCAGATCACACAGATGGCAAAGGCAGGAGACAGTTCCCGCTGTGAGCTGCTCTCTCCAAGGCTAGACCCCTGTATGTTAAGCATGTATTCCAACTGCTGCATGCTAGTTTTGTCTGGTATTGCTTCTATGCCTGCCAGACAACCCAGGTTCTTGCTGCGGTCCTGTGGATTGGGTGACAGCACTTTTTGAAATGTTGATGTGGAAACAATGGAAGGTGGGGGAGGATGGCAGGATCCGAATAAGCTTCACCTAACAATACAGTCCTGTCTAGGCAGTTGTCAGGGCCTGGGAAAAGGGACCCTGGGGCTGAGGCAGACAGCCTCATCATGTTATTGATTGTTGTACCACAGAGGGTATAGAGAGTTTTTTCTACGTTGTTGTTGGAAGCAGAATCTACATGTGCCTTGGTTTGTCCTCCCTTGGCCGTGGGGCACTGTATACTGCCACCAGGGCCTGTATATTGCCTTCCAGCTTGATATGCTCTGAGTATCTTTGACTCTTTCCTAGGCTTCCTCTGACTTCTCTTTATCTTGTCATTTTCCTGCTTTCTGCCTTCTCAATAGGAAAAAAATCCCCATATCAGTCCTTGATGGCTGAATATGTAGTAGCTTCTCATGTAGTTCATGTGATGCTCTGTACAAAGTTCTCATGGGTACCCAATCCTTATTATTCAAATACAGAGGTCATAACTGAAATCTGCATTCTTAATCAGTGTCAAGAGAGATAAGTACAAGCAGAACCAGGATTTGAACCTGGGCTCCTGCCCAGTTGTGGCCCCTATCTGTGAGAGGACAACATAGGAGAAGGTAAACTGAATACTATCAGTTTGATCAAGTGGCTACAGGCATCAAGTCCCAGCCTTGCCCTCTGTCCTCATTTGGCATTCTGCTCTGCACATACAAGGACCTCTTCCTGGGCCCTTCTATGCCCACTGCCCTTCAGCTCACAGTTAGTTGAGACCTCTGTCTTGTTATCTGAAGCATGTGACACAAACCAGTTTCCTTTCCAGTCATGTGGTAGTGGCTTCTCTTCACACCTGCCTCAGTGTCTGTCATTCTTCACCATACAATTGTGCTGTCCCTCTGTTCCAAGGAGCCACTGGGCTTCTTGGCCTCCTGTCTTCTTAGTAGTATGCTTGAGTTCTCTTCAAGTGGCTGCTGGGATTTTATACTTTTCCATTTCTTCTTTCTCACATTGAATAAGAGGCAAAGTTCCAGGTAGGGGACCTGAATCCAAGTTGGGAGTGTTTGATGAGTAATGTGAAAGACAGAGCCACAGATGGGTTGGCTTCTATCCTAAGCAATGCCACGTTTGTCTTCATGCTGCACCAGCCCACCCTCCAGCCTCCATGTGCCTCACGCCCTAGAGAAGTAACTCAGGTGAAAGAGTTTTAAAAGTCTGTATTAATTTGATTCTGTTGCTACCCTACTGAAAACTTCTGCCTGTCCGTTTTCACCAAGACTAAGACTCAACCCCTTGAGATGGCTTCTCGGAGGCCTTTGTTAACTGTCTTCTCATGGTGCCCTCATGACAAACTTAAAGAGCAGAATTAACCAATGCATGTGGTGTCTATTTAGTGAACTCCTTCTCACTCATCAAAGCCCAGCTCATATGCTCCTTTCTTTCTGCATCCTTCTTACCATGATGCTCTGCCAATACACAGAGCATCTATCTTCCATATTTTGTCCAGTCCTGATGCTCCCACTAAATACACCTTCCTTTAAGACAGAGACTGGCTTCTCCCTACCTTAGCCTCATGCCTGTTGAGGAATAATGGAATAGATAAAATCATAGTTGAGGATCTTTACTTTAAATGTTACACAAACATTGACTCCAATCTTCATGATCATGAAGGATGGATTGCAGGAGGGACTAAGTTCTGAGGAAACACATTGCTCTACCACCTAGGTAACACTGAGAGGGTCCTCACATGGACCAGGCCCTATCCTCAGAGTTTTCTACACACATCATCCTTGCAGCAGGCCTGTACAATGAGGTGGACATTAGATCCAGGGACAGACGAGGAATCTGAGATATCAAGGGATGCAGGGTCACAGAGCCAGTGGGTGGAGAAGCTAGGCTTTAAAACTCAAGGAGTTTGACCCTAGGCTCGTTTATAGATAGAGGCCTTGAATCTAGACCCATGTGGGGAGCTGAGAACCCCCAGAAAGGCTGTGGAGTATGGAGTCTGGGGATATGTAACTGTGTGGTGAGCCTGGGCTCTAGCTCATGTGCTCTTGGGAGATTCATGTATGTATGTCATGCTCATACACCTGCCTATCTCTGACTCAAGCCTCCCATGATATCTGGTCCTGCAGCTACCTGGGGCTGTATCTAGGAAGCCTCCAGCGATGATGTGGTTGATCCCACCCCTATTGTGTTTCAGGTCACTGCCAGGGGGACGGCTACCGTGTTGGTTTTGGCCAGTGTGCTGGGAAAGTGCTGCCTGCCCTCTCTCCAGCCTGAAGCTTCGGAAGCCACAGGACAGAGAGCCTTGCCTGTGAGGATGGTGCTACAGCTGCATCAGTCAGGAATGAATAAAGCTACTTTGATTGTGGGAAATGCTACAGAATTCTCTGTTCTTGGATTTGTCCAGTGGAGCAGTGCATGCTGCTCCTGTGGAGGCAGTCATTAGTTCATCTTTTTTTTTCAGGTGAGAGGCTGCAGTCCCTGGAATGTGGGAAAAGAATGACTCCTGAAGTACTCAGCACTCTCGAGGGAGTTATGATGTGTGTGTGTGTGTGTGTGTGTGTGTGTGTTGTCTGTGTGTCTCTGCACATGGATCTGTAGTGTAGGATATCAGGCAAAATTCTCTGTGGTTCTCACCATGTAACCAAGTCCTAGATGCTCACTTGAGCTAAGGGTAGGATAGGCAAGGGTCCTTGTGTTCCCCTCTCTCCTTCATACATATTGGAGCCCAGACGCAGCCCTACCTGAGGTCTTCTGTCCTCACTCACTCTACACTGTAGCCCTGGCCCAGTTTCTGGGTGATCACAGGAGACTAGAGATCCATGACTCTTCTTGGGCTAGAGAATGAGAATGCAAGCATGCAAATAATTAATGCCCTTCATTATTCATCCATGAGCTCTGTATCTTTTGACTTTTCAGAGTTTCATGACTTTCCTGAGCTTCTTGTTTTGCTTGCTTCTTGAGTCCCATAATCCTCACTCCTGTCTTCATTTTAGAGGAAATAGCTACACAACACTCCACCCCTTCCTCTGCCCCTCTCCTCCCTCTTCTGAAATGTTCCTTGGGCCTTAGAGAGGATGTCTGATTATTTTATCCCATTTGTAACTTAGAATCAGGCCACTATATCACAGCAACAGTCACGTATGCTCCAGTTTGATCCATGGTGAGACTCCATACTAATAATCCCTGCCCATTATGAAAGAAAAACGTTTCCTCCATGATGGAAGTTGATAGTTGCAGTGATCTGAGAATATATGCACAAATGTTTAGGATCTGATAGGCACATGTCTGCCTAACAAACAACAGCAGTCACTTACCCAGCTGCAGGGATTTGTCCTAGTGTACACTTTCAATCACAGATTCCCTCTTGTACAATAGGCTTGAAATCTGTTCAGAGCATGGTTGACTGTATCTCCAACAGTCAGTTCACTATTGTATCATCCCAGTAGGCACATCTTGCCTACTAGTTTGCATGACCAGGTCAATAACCAAGGAGGACTATCAGTGAAAATTTTCCTCTGAGGTCTGTATAGCATTTTCTGGCTCTACAAAACCTACTCATAGAGAAATCCTCTAGCTCAGTCTCCGCTCGGTGCTTCCAGGACCTGTAGTCAAAGCATGGGATACTTTCAGCAATACAGACCCAATATTCACTTCTGACATGCAACCAACAGCAGAGGCTATAGATTTTTATGAGTTATGGTGCCCTAGTCACTTCTATGGCCAGTAACTTGTAGGGTATGCAGCAGGTACAGACTCCCTCCCAACGACACTCTGTCCATCTGCCTTGCTCCCCAGAAACAACTGGCACAACTGTAATGTAGAATGGACTTCGAAAGGCTTAGCTGCAGTAACTAACCTACAAAAAAAGCAATATCTACCCCTTTTCTATTTTATTTATTATTTTGAAATTGATACACAAATTGTACATATTTATAGCATGTGATGTTTTGATATGTGTGTATATTATCCAGGACCAGCTCCAGATAACCCTATATATCACCACAAACATTACTTCTTTGTGGTAGAAGCAATCTGAATCCTTTCTCCTAGCGCCTTTGAATCTGCAGCATAGTAACACAACAGAATTTATTTCCTCAGCTGATCATAGGACTCAGTGATCAGGTTTCCTCCTCCCCGCTTCCCCAGAGTCTCTGGTAACCACCATTCTCCTCTCAGCTGATGGGAAAGCAGCCTTTTTAAAATTCTGTATGTGACACCATGGGTACTTGTTTTTCTGTGCTTGGCTTTTTCACAAAAGGGCCTTCAATTCCATTCATGTCCCAATGACAAGATTTTATACTTTCTATAGATGAATCAGATTTCACTGTGCTTAGGTACCACATTTTCTTCACTGGCTCATCCACTGATGAATATCTGTAAGCATTCCAGCCTTTGGCTATTGTGTATGGTGGTGGTGTGATCAACATGGGCATGGAGTCCTTTGAAATGCTGATTTTTTTCCTTTAGATAAACCCCTAATGTGATATCATAGTGAGATGTCTAGTTTTAAGTTTGTGAGGAATCCTGTGTCGTTTCTATCATGGCTGTGTTAGCGTGTCTTCCTGCGAATACTGTGTGACTCATTGAATTGAGTGGCCCACCCTTATAACTATAATATTGCTATAATTGTTATAAATGTTTCAGATTGGGAATCAGGATGAATGCTTCTACTAGCTTGCATGGTGGGAGTCTGATACATTGGAAGATGGCTTTGTGCCATTTAGGGCTTATTGGGTGAGCTAATACAGAACGAGAGATTGCTGCATTGTCAGACAATTTCCCCCATACCCTAAGAGCTATGGAGTTACTGCTACTCCACAGGGGCAAAGGAGACCCACTCTGGAGTCCAAGGGTTCCCTGGGACCCTTGGTACATCTGGTGCCCAGTGTCCCCATTCTGGAACCCCATTCTAGGGTTCAAATTCCTAATTCGCTCTATAGGGACTCTGATGCTCTTTGTCTTGAGATTACAGTTCCATGAGCTCCTACTGTCCTCTCCTGGGAGTTCTAAAGTGCTTCCAGCTAGATCTGCAAGGCTTCTTCCAAAATTCTTTGGGCAAGTGTTAACTCAATAAAAACAGGACAGGAACTTGTCTTCTCTGGGGATGAGGTAAAATGCCCCTACAGATGAGGACTCTTCAGGGACTTGTGGGATAAGAGGAGAAAGATCAAGACTGCTGTCCACACCAGGTCTTAGGACCACCACAAAAGAAGCTGTGCTGGCTACATTCTAGGGTAAGATATGGCTGGGAATGGAACAACATTGACATTATGTAGGGCAATATGGTATCCACAGGACTGTTTCCTTAGTATCCATGTTGGCTTCCCCGTCTTAGCAGAGTTTATGTTGGATGCTGGGAGTTCATGAAGGATGCTAGGAGTTTGTGATAGATGCTGAGAGTCCATGATGGATGCTGGAGTTCATGATGAATTTTGGGAGTCCATGATGAATGCTGGGAGTTTGTGATGGATGCTAGATGTTGCTTGGGGTGAGCTATGCTGTTCATTTTTCATTTGCTCCAGTGTGCTGACATACATAGACCCTATCACTCAGCAGTCCTACCATTTAGTATCTATTATTTTTGGTCAGTGGGAAACCTAGAAAGAAGGCAAATGGTCTTTCCAACTCTACTGCTCTGAGCAGTACTTCTTTGTGCAAGAACTTTTTTTCTGGTTCTGGTTTAACTCAGGATCTCAAGCATCTTAGGCAGGTGCCCTACCACTGAGCTACAGTCTAGCCATAGGCAAGATTATTAGATGTACCTGTGGCACAGCTCCTCTTTCCTGATTCCATCATGAAACAACCTCTCCTGGGATTTGCTGTTCTTCCTTGTATCTTCAGGCCTGGGATAAGTCGGCCTCACTGAATGCTGTCATTGGTATCTGCCACTCTGTTTCCCTGAACACCCAACTTCTGTGAACATACTTTCTTTAACTCTATTAATATTTCAAGTGTGCCCTCTCTTTCTTGCTAGCCACTGGGAGGGACAAACAGCCTTCCCTAGGGGAGAGGAAGGAAGGTATTAGTGGATGTCAAGGATCTATGGAATCAGCACAGGTCAGCAAAAGTGGGTGTGATTGAGGTTGTCTGTCTTCTGGACAGAAACAACCTATATCTAGGCTAGAACTGATGTGGAGAACTCAGTATGGGCATTTCTCAGCAGCCAGGGCCATTAGCTATAGACTATTATGGATAATATCCATCTTACATGGCAGGGCCAGTCCTCAACAGCAAGGCCATGGAACAGGCAACCACTTTTGTAGAAACTAGACTTTGCAATTATTTCCACTTGGTGCTTGAAAGTAAAATGGACCTCTTTTTGGAAACCTCTGGGATCCTGGGAAACTTTTGTTGGGTAGAGAGAAATTGTTGTTTTCATTCCAGCAAGATATGTGGGGTTAGGGGCAAATATCAGTGACAGAGTAGCTGACCTCATATGTACAAGGCCATGAGTTCCATACCCCCCCCAAAAAATCACTCCACCAAAACAAAACAAAGCATATGGACATTTGAAAACTAATTGGAAAAGTAAAATGGCTGTGATAGTCATTGATAGGCCACACTGGGACAGCTGGGCCCCAAACTTGTGTCAATCAAACCCTGATCATGCCCAGGGACCATCTTCCTTCTGATGTCTATTGGTTGCTTTTCCTGTTTCTGAATTTTTTTTATCACCCATTTGTCTCTGGGACTGGGCCCTTTCTGTGGCCATCACACAGATGACCCCACTGCTGCAATTACACAGCCACGAAAGGACTGCATCCGCCTTGCTGGAGGCAACACGGAGGGACTTCCACACAGCGCATCACTGGCAGCATCTTGATCCCAACCACTAGATGCCTTTCTCTGGAGACTGTCACCTACTCTCTGCCGTGGAGAGTTTGCCTTCTGCCCTGACGTGTGGCTGACTCTATAGCTATCCCTTCCTCCAGCGTCTCTTCATTTCCTCTCTGCCAACTTCCAGCCTTCAGCACTAATATGCTGTTGCAATGTTTCCTTCTCTATTCACAACTGCGGGCTTTCTCTCAGTGAGCAGAAACTTGTGAGGGCGCTCTGGTGGTAGAGGATCATGTCCTCCATCCTTCAGAATAGAAAGCATGGGAGAAGAAAAACTTGGGATTCTTCCACCTTTTGCTTGGGATTCTTCACACCATCAAGTAACAGAGATGAGGAACCCCCCTTTCCTTCTTGTGTATCTCTGAGAAGAGGTGTGCTATAAATATGCCTTTTCTCCTCTCCTGAGCAAGGCCCAGGATCCGCACGGCCACTTCTATGTATGTCTTCTCAGCACATATATAATGGGAAAATAAAAATAGCAAAAAAAGTATTTGATATAGTGGTCTGCAGTGTCATGCACATGTATAAGGGAATCCCT